AGCTTTTTCCATTTTGTTGATTATGTCCTGCCATATTCTGTTATTTTTGCCATTTGGGGTGTTCATTGTTAGCTCCGTTTGTTTACTTTTTGCTGGGTATTTTCTGGTTTATTTATCTGGTGTATTTCTTGATTTTGTTGTTGTTTGTATTTTTGCAGTCATTCTTTCTATATCCCTGTTTAAATAATTTCCTCTTTTCTTTTACACCAATTTTGTCCTATAATTAAAGAGAGATTCTTTTAAGTTTTTGCAGATAAATTCTTAAAACAGGCTTTTTATTCGAGCCTTTGTGACTAAAACATCCTTTGATGAGCAGACTGACACCTCAGTAATTTATCACCGATGCATCTATAAGCCTGTAGCCTATTTTCCTAATTTACTTCAGGTTTGAAGTCCATGTGCTGTTATGGGCATGTGACAGCAAGTATGTCCATGTTGAATGGATCCTACCTAGCATACAATCGAAGCTTTACATTCAGGATGGATTTTTAGGATACTCAGAAGCGACCAAAAAAAAGCTCACAGCAGACACCGATGGCAACTCCAGGTGAAAAAATTAAGAGAAAAATCTTGTGAAGTATGTGTGTGAGCTACGAGCACAAGCAGAAGGGTTTTACAGCTCTGTGTTTTGGCCACAGGTGGAAGTATCACTACAAAACTCCATAATGCCTCTTTAAGCCTTCAGTTTTTCACCCATTGTCATGGGGTTATCTGTTCAGTTTCATGTTTTCATGCCACTTTCCTTGTTTCTCTGTTAGTTTATTAGTGTATTAAAGCCTAAGGAAAGGTACGATCCTTCTTCTTGGTTTTAGTCTGCACTTTTGTTCAGAGCACCAATTCATGACAAATCTATTCTATTCACATTGGCTTGAAATGCATTTATCTACTCTGATTTTAGCTTCTGTTTGCTTATTTTTTACAACATATTATAAAACAGAGATTAGAAATTATATTTTTTATGTAAGAAAATTAACATTTCATTCCATTTTATCTTATTTTATCCCAAAAGGTAAAGAGATCAAACATATTGCTTTACTTGTTGTTCTCAAGTTGATTTTTAAACAACCTTGGAGATCTATCTATACGCAAAACAAACCATCAACACACTGAGGGAAAAATAAAAAGGAACTAAAGTAAATTTAAACCAATGAAAAGGTTTTCTTTAATATTTTTACATTACGTTTTAATATTTTTTTTTTCATTTATTGAAGCCTGGCCAAAAACATGACAGTGAGGTACACTGTGGGAAGTCAAGGATGCAGTAACCCTTGGAGACATACTTTTTTTTTTTAAACAAAATAAAAAGAATAAATGAGTGAATTAACTGTGAAATAATTAATGAGGAATTTTTCCAATTCAGTAACCAAAATTTAAACTTTCAACAGTAATTTTTAGATAATGGCTCTGTGTACATCCACAGTAACTCTGCTTTGTTTTGATTTGTTTTTAATAAGATTTAATTATCTCTACAAGAAAATAGATTTGTGACCAACTACATAGTAGGCAGTCAGGTAAATGAGCTGGCCAATTAAAACTGTATTGAATGCAGTGTGCTTGAGGAGAGGGAGGGTTACATTTATTGATTGTCCATGGTTTAAAAATGACATGCTGCTTTTCTTTTTTTTCTTTTTTTCTTGGTTTTTAGTTCTGTTTAAATGTTATTATTTGGATAACAGAAATTGACTATCAACTGATGCAAGCTAACACATATCATGTATATCCAAAAATATTCAGCCTTTGTTTTTCTTTTCTTGGGATTTTTTTAAACATTTAATAATCAAGCATAATATAGAAGCATTCAAACCACTGACTTCGTTCTAGGAGTGGATTTGATTCAGGTGTGTTGAACCACAGAAACTTATAAAATATGCAGAACACTGGCTTTTGAGGACAAGAGTTAGCCTTCTCAGTAATCAACTATTAATTACCCGAGAGACTAAAAACAGGCTGATGGAAAGACACTGCTGACCAAGGAGTCATACAGATTTTTGTTGGGTGTCAAAATATAAATTAGATATAGGTTCCCTTTAAAATGCTCTTTGATATTTTTACATTTTTATGAAGATATTACTTCAGTGATGACAAATATTTTTAAAGTAAAAGCTGAAGACAACTTTTGCCTTAACCGCCTCATTTTAAAAAGTAACGATTAGTCTAGCACCCCTCAGGCAAAGCTTTTAATAGGCTTGTTGAAAGAAGTAATTAAACAGGCAGCCCCATGTTCGTAATTGATTGTTTTGATGTGCAGCTTTACAAACCTGAGTATCTTTAATAAAAAGGCTGAGCTGATCTGGAAATAGAGAGGTACATAAAGTCCAACCAGGTTATTTGGTTCAATGTAACTGGATATCAGAAGCTTTACATATATGCACAATATATCAGCTTATCTTTCTAGGCTTTTTTTGAAATTGTTGCTATTTTTCCCCAGAAAGAAGTTGATTATTAATCCAAACCATACATCTATCATCTATATTCCCATCAGCTCAGCCTTTCAGTCTTTTATTTGTGCTATTGACCCAGTTTCTTGCCCCACAGAGAGTCACATGTCATCGAACTGACACCTGAACAAGAATCCAAGAAACACACTTTGTTTTATTATGTCTGAACCACTCATTATGTTTTAACCAGTACACTCAGAAATTAGAACAAACCATCTGCGACCAGACACAATCAGTTAAGCAAACCTGAAGTAACACTCATGCATTCTCTATTCTATGCTGTTTCCATGAACAGAAAAATAAAAAATGCATAGTATTACAAGATAGAGGTTACGCCTATGTTACAAAATAAAGTTTTAAATAAAATATGGACTCTGCAACGCCTGATGCATCAAATAAAGGTAATCACATGGTTGAAAACTTTATGTGTCTCACCTTAGTAGTGAGGATACAGATGCAGTCCATCCTCAACAGTCTGCTTGATAAACTTTCACCAAATCACCTTCCAGGTCCAACTTCCTCATTTTGACACTCAGCTATGTGTTGCAGCTTGTAGCATCCATTTTCCATCCCTTTGCCTGTTTTTCCCCCTCTCTGTCTTTTCATCCCTCAGTTACCCTCGACTCCGTTTCCTGTACCATTTCCACCTTTCCTTTCTATAGAGCAGTCAGAGTGCCTGCCAAGCATGCTAAATCAGAGGCCGCCTCAGAAACATGGCAACCATACTGGTGCAACTCCACCCGCTCCCGTTTCCCAGCTGCCGTCTTCATTTTATGGCTGCTGGTTTCCACATTTTGACCTCGCGGAGAGCATGGCTCAGAAATAGATTTATCTGTGTATATAAATATACATCCGTGTATGCACGCCAACCAAACTCAGCAGATAAAAAAAAAAACATCATCTAGAGACCGGTGCACACATGGATGAACAGGCAAACACTCACAGACAGACATGTACACAGACATGAGTACACACAAACATTCAAATGCTACACACACTCAAACGTACACACACACACACACACACCACTCTCCACTGCTTTATCAGGTCAGATCTCTGGCAGGAGTGGGGGTTAGATAGAGTGAACAGTGACAGCAGTATACCAAAGATGCTCTACTTTCAACTTTGTGGATAGGAGTGAATTTGTGGCTCCTTAAGAAGCAAAAAAAGGTAACAAAGTGATGGAATTTTTAATTTCCTGTTATGTTACAGACTATTTGCTTCCTTGCCTGCTGAAACGTCAGGCACTAATCTGTTGAATTAGCCTATCTGTGCCTCCTGATTTCACTGGACGTCAGAAGACTTAAAAATCTGTCCTTCACACTCTGTGACCTTGATTGATTTTAGCTCTTAAGATACTTCTGATGAAATTTATTCAGAAATAACTGCAAGCAAGTAATGCAAACCAATGTCTTGTCTATATTTCTGTGTGGGATCTTCTTACCGACTCTTGCTTCAGTCGATTCCTTTAAAATCCAACTAAACTCCTGAATGGGGTTTGCTCAGCTATCTGTCCAGGGCTCCTGTAATCAATATTGTTTGCTCAACTACAACATTTTCCTTCCTCTCACCTTTCCATGTATTTAGATTTTTTTTTATTTTTTTGTGTTTGTCATTAAAATTTTCCCTATAGTGAATGGGTTTGACTACAATGAATGCTGCATCAGGAAGGACGTCTAAAAACATCGCCGAGCATGAGCAAGTTGTAATAACTTTAGATGCTGCTGAGTTTGTTTTTTTATATTGGTAAAACATACATGATGTTGTTGTCATGTACAGAACTCTTTGGCTTCCTCATTTAAGGCCAACTTATTTGTCACACTATATTGTTTAAAATAAAATGTGGATATGCTCAGATTAAGGCCAAAATCATTTTCTATTTGACTTTCAAAATGTCCAAAGAAAGTTTATCTTTGCAAATATCACCTGAATGTAAGCAGCACATAATTACCTTGAAGTCATACAATCAACTGCAGTAAACATACATTTTTACAGATATTCTTGGTATTGTAAAAATAGAGAATAAAAAAATAAATGCAAATTAATCACAAGACAAATCATGTGGGATGTGAGAAAATCCAAACTGAATGTGCATTGTGCAAACATGGGTCAAGTACATCCAACAAAATACAAGCGAAGGTCGCTGCCACCTGCTCATTCAAGAGAAGTGTCTTAAGGACTGAACGCAATCAACTGGTTTTAAGCCATCTGACAGTAAAGTCCCTGTAAAATGCCATTAGATACATGTGTTGGAAATTGGCACTATATAAATAGACTGAGTTCAAATTCACTGAATTCATTCCTAAAATGTAATTGTGCAAAAAAAAAAAAAAAAAGGAAAAAAAAGGCCTCCACTGTTTAGAGGAGCACTCTTTCAGAATGAAAACCCAAAGATTACCCGTCTATTGTCAGGCGGTCTTTTGGCATTTAGAAGCAAACCATAATCACACCTCAGGAGTCAAATAAGGCAATTTTCCTTATTTCCCAAGTTATCACCAATTGCTGGTGATGCATTTTGACAGGTATCCAATACAACAAATACCCAACAAGGACATTTCTTACCTTGGTGGAGGTCAATGGAGTTGTAGGCAATCTGTGGGAGGCTGGTCCATAGCCAGGGCTAGCAGGGGGGCCTTTTACCTGCCCAGGGCTTATTGAACTGGAAACAAAAATAAGTAAGTTTTGATGAACTCACTCTTTTCCGAACCTATAAGGCAAATACATTAGAAATTCCAATGCTAAAAATTAAGCATATAATTATTTTATTCAGGGTCATTGTAATTGTGTGAATCTCTGAAATAACTGCTGATAGCATTAACTCAAAGGAATTGCTGCCTTGATATGGTTCCCATATGATTTCACATGCTGTGTTGCACCTGAAAGATTGCAAATATTACAAAGTGCAAGATCAAACCTATTTGAAGGAAGCCAAATCTTGATACTACAATAGAAAATGAGAACAGGCACATAGAAAAGAGAACCTTCAGAGAACCTGACTTATTTCCACCGAGTTGGAAATAACTCATTGTTTTGTCAAGTAATTATCAAGGTTTTTTAACCTAGTCTTGAGTAAAGTCCCAAGAGGTGCAGGTTCCAAGTCATGCCCAAGTCACAACTATTTATAAAACCTACATAATCCTAAATAAGCAAATCAAATTAAATATCTCTTCCAATATTAATATTTAATTTATATATATAAATAAACATATATATATATTTATATTTTTATAAGTGTACTAATTTGCCAGAACAATCACCAAGAGGATATGAGCCTCAGAAATGACATTCATGAGAGTTATTGCTAAACTATTGTTTTATTATTCTCTGGATATTGTGTTTGCATTGAATGTCTTCCATAACTGCAATATAGTTTGTAAATAAAACTGACAAACAGACCTGTTATTTCCAAAGCTTATAGCAAGGAAAATATGTGCACATACCTAAAATGAGATCCTTTGCTTATATTTGCCAAAGGACTTGTGGGGCTTTTGCTCTCAAATGGGCCTTTTCCATTGTTGGGACTCGTTGGACTTTTACTCGAACTGTCTTTGCTTATTCCTTGATCTCTGCCACTAGAAACAGCTGCAGTATTGCCAGTTCCTGCGACTGTACCTTCTCCTGGACTGGTTGTTGAAGTGGTGCTTGTAGGAGTAGCTTTGTCTGGAGTGGTTGGTGACACAAGACCTTGGATGGTGCTAGAGACAAGGGCAGAAACAGTCACCAGATTCAGGTCTTTAGGGGCAGGAAGGTTTTGTGGGTTTGTTGTATTCTCTGACTTTGTGACAGTGACATGTTGGTTGGTTCCATTCTGTGATGTTTTAGTGGGGTCACTGGGACTTTCTACAGCGCTGGCAGTAACACTGGAAGTATTGGCATCATAAGGTGAAGAGGGTTTGGAAATAACTCCTTCGACAAATTTGGGGTTTCCAGTATGGATGGGTGGAGGGGGAGCACGGCACTTGACTTTTGATTTTGTAGGTTGTCCAGTTGGTTGAGGTGTGATGGGGGATTTAATAGACTCTGGCTTAGTGAGTTGGGGTTGTTCTCCAGAAGCAGAGGGGATCGAAGGGCTGGGGGACTTTTGCTGTTGTGATGATTTCTCTGTTGGAAGGCTGCAGGAAGCTGGGAGTTTCTCAGGAGTGTCGACAGAACCTTGGCTGTCCTGCAGGATTGTCAGCTCATAGTACTCCTGGATATCTATGGAAAGATTAGAGCTGTGAGTTTCTACAAAAGAATGAGTGCATCCGTTTATGAGAAGACAATCTAATGAGCACTATTAGTATTAATAAACATGCTGGTATTATCTCATGCTGGATACAAAGGAAAACATGCTGTATTCTCTTCTTATGACATAGACACATTTAAAGCCAGATAACAACTAATAATTGAACTTTAATTTAACAATTATCATTCAGATACTTTTCTTCAAGCTGATATGATTTCCTTATCTTCAATGCTACTTCTACAAGCCTCTGTTTTCATGCTGTACTCTGTCAGATTTAGCCATGGTCATGGTTGTCATTGTCATCCAGTAGGAGGGATCAGAGCCACCGTTTGTTCCCACTAATTCTTTGTTACATCTACAGTATATGAATCTCAGTGCTCCCAACACTAGTTAGAAGTGAAGAAGCCTTTTGGATGAGAGGCTAAATGTCTTCTGGAAAACTTTGCATCCGGTTGCTAGGACGGAACCTTGCAAGGTTGTCCATGACCTGGATGATTGAGAATCTTCACAGATTTCTCATTGATAGTTCTCTATTATGTTCCATTCCTGCAGGTGATTTCTGCTATTGCTCCTCCTGCCTCACAGTTAGCTCATTCTGTACTCACTAATAGGCAGTGAGGGCCCAGAAATAGCCACAATACTCAATTAAAATCATTGTGAAAAGAGCTTCCACGTGAGAAATGCAAAACAAATAAGGGATCAAAGTCTAAATGTTATTATCTAGACCTCGAAAGCAGTAAAACTGATTATTAAGAAATAAATTATGTATCTGGATATTTCTATTTATAAATTCTGTGGTTGAAATACTTTTGCATATCTGTATAAATACAACATGTTGATCTCAAAAATTGTATGAGACAGAACTGTGATGCAGATCAACCAAACCGTGTGTCTAAAAACCTCACCCTTTTTTTAATTACACTTCTACTGTAAACAGACATAGAACGTGCAACAAGGCCCTCTTGTGTCAACAGATGAACACTGCAACAGAAGTTTCTGAAAAATGTCTTTGCATACTTTCATGTTAGCACACATGGCATGAATCTTATAAAATCTAATAACAGAGTGTTACAGGGGTAAGTTTTAATTCCACTCCATATTCACACATAGCTCAATGGCATTTAAGTAATAAATTTAGACACAACCCATGTCAGCAAAACAATTCCCATGGAAAAGGTCTGCTAAATTTTATAGCTAGAAAACAGATAGAAGACAACAAAGAGGAGTGAAGAACAAAGCGATACACCTGTGGTTTATAGAAACTGAACCAGGGGTTTCAAATTATGAATCCCAGAATTTCTACACACACAGTTAGCCTGTTCTCTGTTTATAGTCATTGATTCATTCAAGGTACTCCAGCTTCCTCTAAGATTCATGTTGGGTGGGTTCATTTTTCTCTCCAGATTGCCTTGGGGAATGAGAATGTAGGCGTCCGGTTGTTTTTCCTACATGTCTCTCACTTTCCCAGTGATGTGGTTACATTATTAAGTACCAACTTTTCATCCAAAGACTGATGGAGTAAGGAGCATCCTTACAGGATGCGTAAAAGGTATATTTAGTGTCAGTATACATCAATGAGAAACCACAGACAAAGTTTTAAAGTTTATGAATTAATGCTTTGCATTCTTTACATAGGCCCCAGGTCAGTCTCCCCATTTTTTTTTTTCATTTTTAACCTTTCTAGCACAATTACTTCCCAACCTAAATTAATTTCATACTCTTAAACAATCTATTTTGTTATTATGAATTAACTGTCTTGATTAAAAAGATAGATGATCCTAAAACACATAAAAAATGTTTTTCAGATTGTTATGAAAAGATTTGATACTGGTCCATTATGGGAAAAATAATCAGATTTGGGACACTTCAGGCTGCAGTGTGAATATAATCATAGTCAGCCACTCCTCATAAGGCTACCATCTAACTAGATTAAAAGCAAACCATACCCTTGCAACTTTAACACCACAAAGAAAATAAGTGAAATATCAGAGAAAGTGAGTAACAAAAACAGTTTCAGCAGACCCTGTTCAGAGACATGCACACAAAGAGGTTTGGTACTTTTTGGTAAAGGAAACACAGATGCCTTTGCTAGGTGGGTCCAGCCTTTTTGCATGACAAGACCATGCTATGCACATTCTTCATTTTAAAAGTTTCAGAGACAGCTAAAAAAAACAAGATTGTTCTTCTAGTAAATTCTCTAAAAGTCTAAGCAGTTTAAGAGTGAATGTGCACCCATTTACAGCAGAGAAATTCATGATTAATCTAAAAGGAAAATCACCCTGATGTCACCAGTCATATAGTAAATAAGCTTTACTAAAATACAAACAAAACTGTAGTATCATTCTAATAGTTTCATTTATTTGGGGAAATAGTGAGCCAAAGAGAGTTTTGGATTCAAATGTTGATAAACCATCCAAATCGTGTTAGCACCCTTTTTGTATATCAACAAACCCTATTAAATGCAAAATAAGGATGGTTCAAATATTTATCAGGAAAATACTAATATTTCCCATTTAAACATGTAAATGTATCTTAATATTTTAAAGGTTGAGTTCAAGACTAAAAATTCTTTAAAAGAAAAAAAAAAAAAGGGGGTTTAAAGTATGAATATCAAGTGACCTTACCAAGTAGAGCACTGAAGAGCTGACTTTGGAAGATATTGATGACTCTGTCTAAAGATTGCTGCAGCTGCTGGTCCTCCTCCATGGAAGCCTGTTTGCTCTGACTCTGATTTTGCTGTCTCTGGTTCAGTTTTACTCGGTACTGTTGGAGCAGCTCCAGGGCCCTCTGAGCATCTTTAAAGAATACATGAAACATGTAAAAAAAAAAACACAAAAAAATAAAGAAAAAAAGTTTTATTATTTCATTTTAGGGTAAAGAGATTATTTACTTTGAAACAAAGCCTTTATAAAACTGGGGATTACAACAGTTTAAGAGCTAGTGGTGGTCACCCAAGGATAAATAACTCAAGAGAAAGTAAAAGCACCTGGTCCCAACAATGCAGTTATACTGTCATAATTTTTATAAAATAAAAATAAAAGCCTTTTCCCACTGGTTTATTTAAAGATCTGTTTTCATTTTGAAATTGTTTAATTTAAACAGATTTTTATAGTAGATTGACTACTTTAAAATAGACTTATAAGGGGCCTCACATAAAATTGCAATTTAGCTTTTTCACCCCATTTTTTGTTACTGAAATTTCTATTCAGGCCTGTTTTCGTATCTTTTGCTGCCTGTGAACAGTTTCTGTGAACAGTTAATCAAGCTTAAATAATCCTACAAGTGTGTGAACATGAATCTGGGGTAATAAGATGGTGCATAACAGCTTTATAATACAGTAACATTTAATTCAGTAATTATAGGTAAAATTTAAAAATAAAATTCACAAAGATTCTCAACACAAAAAGAAAATATATTTTCAAGCCTTTATTTGCTGTAACTTTCTGAATTTTTGCACACAGTAAAAATGAAATCAAGAATCTTTTCTCAGAAACAATTATAAAATCTTTATAATCAGTAAAAAAACAACAAACAAACTGTTGTAAGCAAGCACATCACTTTTGTAGGTATGGTATTAATGACATTTGCAATAGAGGCTTTAGTAGTTGCTTTGAACTCATGCGTTTACTGTCTTTGGTGTCTTTCTCACAATCAGGGTTTTGGTTATTAGAGGGTTGGGGGATTTAGGTCAGTGATAGCCTGTTCATTAAATCAAGTATTGAAACTTTTGGTAAAGTTGGTAGTTGCCAAGCCATGCCAAAAAACTTAATTAGCATATATATAAATGTATATAATAAAATACAGTGGGCAAACATTAGCAGAAGGTACAACTTCCTAGCCTAGTAAACTAGCCCCACCTGCCCAAAATCATTTTTGCCTGCGAGTGGTCTAGCCTCGATCAAGGCCCCAGGCCCTAGAACTGGCGGGCCAATCACAACGCAGATATGTGTTTTGAATTTCTGAATGTAAAGCAGGGGATGTTTTGAGGGCGTGACAACAAAGCTGTGCGACGCTGGAGAAAGCCCAACAAGGAAGATGGCAACAACGATTGAACAGTTCTCGTTTGACTCAGCTTTGGAATCAGTTTTGGAAGGATTAGACTTTGGGTTTTCGTTGAAACGTGAGCAGTGAGAGGCTCTACGGTCATTCATTTTTATGAAGGACGTATTCGCCGTTTTACAGACAAGCTGTTTGTTTACACTCCCCCACCAGCTTTCTGTCGCGCTTACTACATCACATTTGGTTGTGCTCATTGGTCAGATTGTTAGCCAATAGGCACAGACATATGCCGTTTCTCAATATGCGTTCTTGAGCATTCTTGTGTTCTCGTGACAATTGTCGAGAACACCAAACCGAGAACGCACCAAATCCCTGAATGTTGTTCTCACCTTGCCCTCTTTATCGAGTATGCATCAGAGCAGACTTGTCCGTTCTTGAGATTGACAGCTGTCCCAGCATGCACTGCAGCAGCAGCAGCTCTCAATGGAGCGCTCCATTGAAAGTAAAAAGTTCCCTTTTCTGTTGCTGTTGTTCAATAAAAGTACGTTTTAAAATAATTTGAGGCGAGAATATTATACTTTAAAGCGTCACTATATGGTCCATTTACCGATTTAACGCGTAATTAAAAAAAAGATTTAAGAAGTTGAGAGTACCGCGGCAACCAGCTGAGCTCCAAAGCTAACGGCAGCCAGGGAAAACCGTAGCCCGTCTGCAGCGCCCTCTCTCAGCATAGCTGTGTGTGAAGGACCACTGGCCCTGACGGTGATTTTGTTTTGTTTTATTTGGCAAAATGTTTATTTGATTTGTGATTATCTGACTGTGTTTATTATTATTCCCCCACTTAATGAAAAAAAGTAATAATCTATTATTTTCTAGAAACTATTAATAACAAGAGGTAAAATGCAGCTCTAGACAAGCCGGGCATGTGGTGACGTCATGAGTATGCTTCTGTTCCAATTTACCCTGATTTATGCTGCGTGATCCTGTTCTCACCAAGTCCATACTTTCCTGTGTTCTTCTCAAGAACATACTCGGTGAGAACACCGAACTGTACTCGCGTTCTAGTGAATTGAGAAACGGCAATAGTTTGAAAGACAACGGATTGTTCTCATTTACAATCTCCCAATTGTTGTCATTCATCGGGGCCAGACTAAATTACACATTTAACCTCACATTTAGTCTGGTTTATCAGGCTAACAACCTTCAAAATTATCATTGGCAGTGGAAGCCTATAACAGCAGGCTGGAGGTTTGGTCCAGTGTGCACTTTTATTTGGATTCGATTATTAGGTAAAATGCATCTAAAAATGGTGATGCCAGACCATCAAACAAAACTCCTGTTTATGTCCTCCTTAGCCTAAGATTTTTCTGATTATGTCTTTAATTCTAAAAGGGCTTTAAACATGGATTGCAACAGTTACACCCCATGCCCTGCAGTTCCTCTACCAAAATCTTAAAGTGGTTTGCTTCACATGAAATATGTGCACTTTTCCCTAAAATCTAGGTAGAGAGCTCTTACTGCCTGCCACCTCACTGCCCTTAGGCTGTCACTGACTCCTGCAGGCAGTCATCATATGATCATAGCATTACGAAATACTTATTTTCTTAAATTGTATATTTTACTTTTATTTATTTTAGATTTTAAATGTGCTGCAAGTTTAACATTTGCCATTATTATAGCTTATTTGTTCAGAGTTATCTCTATATGTAAATATCTGTTTGACTCATAAACCAAATTACTGAAATAAAATCGTGAAATTGCAGCTTAGTCGGATAAAGCTCAACGACCTACAGTATTTATCTGCAAGTTATCGCACTATGCAAAACCACTTTCACTTTGCGACTAGTGCGAACTTACTGTGTAGATAACATTGATAACAAGTGCCTTGCATTCAAAGCAGCAGTTTGCCTCATGCCTTTTGACCAATTAACCAAAGAACAGCGAGGAATTCACTAAAGTTCACGCTCCCGAGATTCAGCTCAACATTTCCGTGCGTCTATATGCGTTTAAATGGTCAACTTTACTCCCCTTCTACAGCTGAAAGAAAATAAGAGGAGCGGATAGTTACCTTTCTGTCGCACAGGCATGGTGACCGACGCAGCCCTGCTCGGACAGCTTGGGTTAGTGTTGGTGCGTGTTTTTTTTTTTTTTTTGTGACAGATGTGCGCGTCCTGCCGCTGCCTTCCTCCAAAATGGGACACCGAACCGTCGCCGCAACAGCCAGCAACAATTGGCCGTTTAATAAGTAAAAAAAAAAAAAACAAGCAAACAAAAAGAAAACAACAACGACAAAACACGGATGTAGTCAAGCGTTTACTTTTACGCCTGAACTTAGTACCCGCAGAGTCCTACTGGTTACGCCTGTTTGGTGTTTTGCGTCTTTCACTTTAAGTCGGTCTGTTCGGTCAAACTAGTTCTCCATTTCTTCACTCAGGTGTCTTAACGTGGTCCAACCGGTTTCCCGTGGGATAAACACACACTCGTCACTGAACACTGTTGAAGAGGCTCTTTATAAGGAGCTTGTGTGTCTTATTGTGATGATAAACAGCTATATTGTGCGCTGTAGATAAACGCCCGGTCTATTCCAGGGTGTGCTGAATCCACACCTAATCCACTCAGAGGAAAAAAGATTTGGGTTTTACTGATATATCTGACTCTTAGCTGCATTAGAGAAAGGCTCAGAAAGCTGCCTTCCGTGTCCCAATTGTCTTTGGTTCATGCAAAGCAAAGGTTGTATGGATTTATGTTGAATGGGCGAAAAAGGCAAAGTTGGTCAAATTGAAATGTTACAGGTGTAATCCCAGCAGCAGCCTAGGCATGTTCATTCCCGCGTGGGTTTAGAGGTAATGAAAATGTGTAGTGTGATTAGATTAAATCCAACATCTAGCCACAGCATGTCGACTGGATTGTCGCAACAAAGTTTATACACCTTCTTTGTATGTGTGCAAAAAAAATTTTTCCTATTCATTTGGTAATTTTGTGTCAAAAATGAAATGCTTTAAAGTCTAATACCATAAATCACACTCAGTAAATCTTATTATTTGTAAAGGGAATGTTTACCCTTTTTGACAAAATATCTATTTGAATATTTACATTAATACAGTGATTATTTTCATTAGTCAGATGTTTGTTCAGTATGTTCAGTTCATTTCAGTTATATTTATTTTTCTCTCAAATGTATAAATAAAACCAAGAACATCACAGAAAACTAAGCGTTGGTTTGAATGACCTACTTGTATACTTCAGGTTTCACAAAATATGCACACATTTTTATCAAAGTTTCTTAATCAATCTAATTGCGCATAATTAACTTTAATAATTATCCCAATGATTATATTTTCAAACCAGTATCTCATTTTGACTTTTGAGTAAAACTGAAATAAACTTGCTACTATAATACTTAGATTATCCTATAAATGGCAAAGGACAAGTATAGAATTCCCCAAAGCACGTATGAACAAGTATCAACTTTGTTAGAGATATATAGAGTATTTCTGTGCATTACATGGAACACATTTAATGTTAAACATTTCAATACATTTCTTATTTATGGTGTCGCAGTGTGTAGCAATTTTGCCTTTACCTGGATTTGATTCCTGACCAAGGGTCTCTCTACATAAAAGGGTGGAGCTAGATGGGGGGCTAGGTGTGGCCATGGCCAACCTTAGACAATCATTGGCCACCCCTGTGGCCACTCCTATGATTTTTTTTTTTACCTCTTACACAGATGGTGACAGCAGTAATACTCTTAAATGGAATATTCAATTTTAATTTTTCATATATTAATAATGACTTTACAACAAAAACATTGCAGTTGTTTATGCACACCAATATACTAACATTAAAGACGATAAGTACAGAATTCGTGCTATTTTCAGAACTAGATTTTGTGTTATATAAAGAGAAAATGATGCATCTCTGTAGGTCATCTAGGAGTCTGCCATGAAGTCATTGATAAATAAATAATTTATGTAGATATTAGTACTTGTAAATATCAATTTTATGCAGAATAATTATTGATAAAAGTAGGTAAGTAATGACGATGGAAAAGATGTTCGCCCCAGAACTCAAACCTGAAAGAATTTTTATCCACTATACCATTTACCTAGAAAGCGTGATTGTTTAAATATATGCATCTATTTGTCAACAAGGGCTGTAGGAAAGTGTAGTTTGTCTTTATTGAGAACAGTGTAGATTGACCCTGAGGTTCTGGCGCCTATCCACTTTTGGCCACCCCTATCTCTACATTGGTTATTACCTGGCCACTCTTATAATAATTTTCTGGCTACGCCTCTGTCTACATGGAGTTCCGCCTGTGCGAGTGAAAGTTCTCTCCAGGTCACCTTCCCACGGTCTTGAACCATGACTTAGGTTGATTTGTGTCTCTAAATTGTCCTTAGGTGTGAGTGTCTGTGTGCATGGTTGTATGTCTCTATGTGTCTGTGTTGCGCGGAAACAGACTGGTGATCTGTCTTTTGTGTACCCCACCTTTTACCCATAGACTTTTGGAGATAGGCACCAGATGGATGGATGGGTCAACAAGGGAGGAGATTTGTAGAGGACCTAAATGCAGAGATGGAGGCAAAGATGGTTTCAGATTTAATGATGAGGTTGGTGGCAACAGAAGCATAAATACAGAAATACCAAACCAGGAAAAACAGGAACCAGAACAGAGGGCAACACAAAATTCATGAGGGAATGAAGATAATCCAGTAATGAGTAATTGCAGAGGAAGCATATATGTGGCAAACAGAGCAAAGAAGGTAGTAATCAACTGCTTGGGAGCAGGTGCGGACAGAATTGCTAGAAGGGAGCTAGGGGAAAGGAAAGTGTCAAAAGGGGGCAGCAGAGAGTGGTTAAATATAACTACACTAAACAAAAATATAAACACAACACTTTGGGTTTTGCTCCCATTTTTTTATCATATGAATCCAAAGATCTAAAACTTTTTCCACACACACAATATAACCATTTTCCTCATATATTGTTCACAAAGCAGTCTAAAGCTGTGATAGTGAGCACTTCTCCTTTGCTGAGATAATCCATCCCACCTCACAAGTGTGCCATATCAAGATGCTGATTAGGTACCATGGATAAAAGGCCACTGTGAAAGGTGCAGTTTTATCAATTCAGTTCCATTCAGTTTATTTCTATAGCGTCAATTCACAACACATGTCATCTCAAGGCACTTTACAGTTCACCAGATCATACAGGATTCAAAGTTTTCTATCTAAGGAAAACCAGTTGATCGCATCGACTCATTGACTCCGATGCAATCCCTCACACTAAGCACGCTTGTAGTGACTGTGGAGAGGAAAAACTCCCTTTTAACAAGAACAAACCTCCAGCAGAACCAGGCTTAGTGTGAACGGCGAGCGCCCATCTGCCGAGGCCAACTGGGGTTCAAGGAGACAAAAGCAGAGATATAAAAAGCAACTGTAAAAGGCGGCCCCATCCTGAAAACACACAACCAGGCAGACGAGCTCTGAGACAACTACCATTTTAAAGGATGAAGAGAGTACATCCAGCCAGTCACAGTCAGAGAAACAGGACTACACTGGAAAAAGAGGCCAATCCTCAACATCTATAAACAAGGATGTTGATGGCAGCAGCACAGCTGATATTACTCTGATGAGGTGAAGCTACTATGAGAAAAGGCAGAGAGAGCATAACATTTGAGATTAAACTAACAGATTCAGCAGAGTGGAAGAATAGAGATAGAATGAAGCAAAATTAGGAAATACGTGTCCTTTTTTCCTCCAGAAGTCTAAGCCTGTAGCAGCATAACTATAGAGATAGCTCAGGATAACCTGAGCCACTCTAACTATAAGCTTTATCAAAAAGGAAAGTGTGCTATCACACAGCACAATAGCACATATGTTGCTGGGAGCAGGAATGTCAATCAGACCTGTGCTGAATGTTCATTTCTCCATCATAAGCCATCTTAGAGCCATTTTAGATCTATGAGTTCATCTAAAAAATACAGGAGCAAAACCAAAATGGTTGTGTTTATATTTTTTTTATTTAGAAAATAACTTATATATCTGACACTAAATGGAACTGAAACTAATGGCTTAGAATACACAGGATTACATAAATAAAAGTTTTACTAAAAACACAAAGTGAAAACTTGACCTCTGCTATAATGTAGCCCAGGGGTCTGCAACCTGTGGTCTTGGAGCTGCAATTGACCACTATGTATTCTTCTATGTATTTTCTTCTAATGTAAAAGTAGCATTTTAACTAGCACATAGATTGGTAAACCACCACTAACAATTGAACTACAGTTCTAACTGTAGAATTAAAGGAATTAAAAGAGATCAAAACTACAAGATTTAAGATCCTGTATGCAAGGCATATTTAGTTATGTCTATCATGAGCCAGCCACACATATAAAGGCTGCAGTTGAATGCAGGTCATAGTCTCTGGTATTGTTATTGATCCAGTCACAAGAGTTTATTGACTGCTTTGGTGGGTGAACAAAATTTCCCTTTCTGTTTTTCACACACTTACACACTTATTCTACCATTAGAGTGGGTAGAAATACATGCATCATTATATAAGTGGGTTGGTTATTTGGAATACAGAAGTACCATTTCTGTTTAAAGCTAGTGTGTAAAAGACAGACTAAAGGGGAACTGGAACAAAAGGACACCATTCAGATTATACGTGGGTGTGAGTAGGTGTGTGTGTGTGTTTGTGCATAATGGTTAACTCTATTGTTCATTGTCAGCCTGTCTCAGAGTGAGAGTTGTTCTATGGACAGCATTGATGCCAGGGGAGCACTGGGGAATGGTACAAGTCAGAAAATATATATTTAAAAAATAGGATTTTGACATATTCAGTAAAGGGGAAAAGAGAGTATCTGCAAGTACTTGCAGCTTTTGAAGGGGTTTAAATGGAAAGTTACAGCCCTTCTTATGTTAAGTATGGTGAAGTTCTGGTTGGGTTTTTAGGGTTTTTGTCCTATTGGATGGTTAAGGACCTGCTCATTTTCCGTTCTTCTGTAGATTTTCTGCCAAAGAATGACCCTTTTTAGCTCCATCCATCTTTCCAACTTTCAACGTTTCTGAAAAAGGACCAAATTATCATAGCATGGAAACGTAACTGCTATCCATTACCATCACCTAAATGGCTGAGAACTTTAACCAGGACTCGTTACTCAACAAATGTTTTCCTTTTTGCCACTACCCCATAAAGCCCATTTTATGGAGTGTATAATAGAGTTACTCTCATGAGTTGTAAATCTTAACAGCTCACCCATAGTTAACTTTGCTTGTTTATGCAACTAATGCTCTCTCCCTGTAACTGATGGAAAGAGATCCTTTATCCAGTGGTGGATGGGGTGAGGTTTTGAGCTTGCTCTGCAGACGTGAGACCGGGACACCTTGCAGCCATTTTGCCACCTATTACGATCCCTGGAAAACAAAGTATTCTATAGTCAAGGAGAGGACTTTTGTCTGACACCCAACACTTTGACCAAAAAAGTCCATCAAAAGAGAAACATTTCATAAAAACAATCAAATGTCTCACAAAAAAGTACCCAAAAAAAGCTCTTGCAAGGTTTAGTGAGAGTTTAGTCATTAATCAGTTTATCAATGGTTCTTAAGAGAGCTTTGTATAAATTAATGTTAACAAACCAACAGTGAACTAAGGCTAAATTGTAAAGACGAGTGACTCATAATTCCTTAACAAAAGGGTCAGGCTGATTGAAGTTATGGAGAAAACACCCTACCTTGTACATTTCATTTGGAAATAGGTACATATAATTTAACAAATTATATTTACATTGTCTGAAGATAAGATATTGAACACTGATAACATCCATCAATCATCTCCCACTTCATATGTCAGGGTTGCAGTGGGGCTAATGCTTATGTCCAGCACTCTATATGCAAAATGCAGAGTACACCCTGGACAGGTTGCCAGTCCATTATACATGTTTGTTGGACTGTGGGAGGAAACTGGAGTACCCGAAAAGAACCCAGAAATGGATGGGGAGTACACAAAAACTTCATGTAGAAATACCCTGGGTTAGGAATTGAACCCAGGACCTTCTTGCAGTGCTACAAGCTTGTATAAAAGTTCTGCATCATGAAGCTTGATGCTGATAGCAATTCCATGGAATTCCCATTAAAACATAAGCAGATCTGGATCCCTACAAAGGTAAGGTTTTAGTACAGCCAACTTAAAAGTAGCAAGCCAGACTGTCCCTGAGTATTAGATATTTGTCTTTAAGTATTACTCTAAAATTGAAAGCAGTAAATAAGCAATTATCCCAATGTGGAACTTTAATAAACATTCTTTTGGTTTTGGTGTGATATATAAAAATATAGATGCACAATTTTGAACTGACTGGTCTGTCCCTTCAGGGACTGTTTCTGATGCAGGGGGATGAACTGTCCCTTTCTGATCCACAGCTCAGATAACTGTCAAGAAAGGCTAAGACGGATGGATCAGAAGGGATAAAGAAGTTTCCAGGTTGTTAAACTAATGGAGTGATAGACAAAGGAGCATCTGTTCAAGTAAAATCCACAGCAAAGGAAATCTTATCCTCTTTATTCTGTTTTATTTCAGGATTTTGTGCTTATATAATTTACTTTCTTCCTGTCTTTATCACCCTCTGCTTAGTATTTATTTTCTCAAATGTCATTTACCATGTATATCCCTGCCTTTCATTAACTAATATTCACCTTTTACTTTATCATCTTTTATCTAGTTATATCTCTGAATCAGCTCTTTTTAATCTATGCCTCCTTTTCTATTCTCTTTTGACCTTCCTCACTTTATTTTTTAAAATCAAAACGTGAACAGAGAGATTCTGAACATCTGTGCTCCATAAAACAAAGAAGGCAATGCACCATAAGAACCAAACATTACCAATATTGACATTTTTATTATTTGTACAATAGAGACTTTAGTACATTATTCAAAACACTTCTTATATATTGAAAAAATGGTATGTCCTGAAGCCCAAAATGGCTTCAGTATAATCGCTGCACAGCATTTTTTCTGTTTTATACATATAATTTTTTTTGTAAAAACTGTATCTTAAATAGTATGTACAGGTAGTGTCTGCAAAATGCATTCTAAACACATGATATATATTATATATACTTTAGCAATTGCATTTCTTCTCGCATTGATACTCAAACTTAAAACTGGAAGGATTTCAACTTGCATGTGCAAATAAATAAATAAATAAATAGTTCTGTAAGATCGTCACTAAAATTTGTCCAACTTATAACTTGACAGTATTTCTCACCTCGGAGGTCAAAGTACATTGTCACACTACAGAAGAAGCAGCATTCAAGTTGGGTACGTGTTAAGTACTGCAGAAAGCATGAGTACATTCACAATTAATATGAGTAATTTTAAATTATATTTCATTCACAGTTTATATACAGTAAAACTGTCTTCATTTGTTCATCTCTTATATCATCTAAACACATAGAAAATGGGTGTTTCTTTATTTTCATATACATATATATATTATGTATTTTTATAACACAAATTCACAATTACAGTAGAAATACAATTTTTTATACAAGTTTTGGATAGTACATGTGTAGGTCTTCAAGTCACATTGTGTGTACTTCAGTCCATATCTTTGATACAAGTGTCTTTACAAAATATCACAATTTTTGAGCAAAGCTAAGATATATCAATGTATTTAGAAAGAATTACCTGAAACATAGAGTAAAAAATAATTATATTATCAAACATTTGTCTCTTTTCACATAATAATTTTCAATATTTCAAACTTTAAATAGGGTTCAATCTCTCAACCACAATATTTAAACTGTGCCATGTTGTGTCCTTATGAAAGTGTGAAGTTTCTTAGAGGGAAATTGACACAAAATGGGGCACAGGTAAGTAAGGTGAAATATGCAGTTGATAAAAATATTACCATAAGGCATAAAACATAATATATTTTTTTATTGTTATATTTGTCATATCAATATAACTCTGTAAATATGACCACCACTCTTTGGCCAAAAATTTCCAACATCAAGTTCTCCAAAACACATTTTGCTTCTTATCCTTTCCGTTTTTTTCTCTAAATCTTAAATGTCACACTTTGGGCAACACATGTTTGAGTGAAAATTGAAGTATACTGTGCATTTCAAATATCCACACCCCTTGTAGTTTCACATTTTGTCCACATTACAACCACCATCTTCAATATTAGAAGGATTTTAGGATAGGTTTACAAAAAGTTATGTACTGAAGAAATATGATACAAAGTTTTTTCAAATATTTTTCATTTACAAAAAATCTACAACGCTTTCTTCAGGGCTGGAAACTTAGTCTATCAAGTACAATTCTTCTAATCTATAAGGAAGTTTGTGGTTGTAACGTTAAATATGGAAACGTTTAAGGGGTAGGAATACTTTTGTGAAGGCACTGTAACAACAAACCCTTTGAGATATAGTTCAGCTAACAAGCTTAGCACTGAATCCAGATTTAAGTTTAAGTCTAATCCAGGCCAATGTAAAATGTATCTCTGTTATTCTGAACCTGTGTGAACAAACAGTTCACACAATTATCTATAATTTTTACTTCTCAAAAACATTTTTTTTTTATTCTGGAGATGGAAGAAGACAGGACTTTCCTTTCAAACATCAGCACAGTTGCCTTCACTGCTGTAAAGGAATAATAATTTGTCTTCTGTGATGAGCCTAAGATACAAATTGGGTGCTGTAATGCAGCAGTGCACAGGGCGTACAAATGTACTATAGGAGTGCAGGGGCACAGGGTATTTGTTAAGTGAATGGCAGTATGAGTGTAAACATTAGCATGAATTGTACAGTAGATGGCACTAGAGGACAAGGTTGGCTCAGCTGCAAAAGCTCAGTGGGCTGAGCATTAAAAATATTGCTTTTAGCTCTTTTCAACACAGCTAGCAAAAGTGTTTCAACAGAAAAAATATCAGCAATGATATTTTATGAAAAGGGTTTTCTATTACAGTTGAAATAGTGGTGTGCTTTGGAAAAAAAAGCTATATAGAAATTATCCCTGTGCAATAACAGGAAAAAAAATAGAATAGAGCTTAATACAGTTATATTAATCATAAGCTTTTAGAGCTTTCTGCCAGGGTCCAATTAAGAGTGCAACTCATGAAAGCCAGATCTTTATATATGTACAAAAAGGCAAAATGTTATCTGTACATTGGAGGCGAAATTAGTTGGCACAACACAATATGAGACAAAAAAAAAGATAATAACAAAGAACAAAGTAAATAAAATAATAATAATAATAAAAAAAAAAAACGTTAATGGGAGAAGACATAACAATTAAGAACAAGGCAATAAACGTGATGCTACACATTCATTTTCAACCAATACATAGCAAGGGGGAAAAAAAGAAAAGGTTAAAAAAAAATCCTTTAAACTGACTTGGCAAAAACAGAAAAAATGGAAATCTGATTAGCTGATGAAATAACTTTCTCATTCAAAACCAACCAAAATATCCAAACTGCAGCAGCCCTGAAGGAACTCAAAAAGTGTTGCATCCTCTCATGGTCTGTCCATCCATCGATCAGGCCCCTGACCTCCGGTGAAACGATGAGAAGATATGTCTCCCATGGTACATTTGGCACTAGTATTTGCCTTTGGTCCAGCAATAGGCAAACATATGTCTGTGTGTTCCTTTAAAAAGGTTACAAAAGAAAGAAAAAGGCGGCTCATATGTCAGCTCCACAAGCCTCCAGCAGAGTTGAGTGGAGATGAGTAGAGGTGGGAGGTGGATCTGTTTATTATAAAACTATTTCTATCGCGTGCTGCTGTCTCTCAGAACCACCAAGTCCACTGTCCGAGGGAAACTCTTCAGCAGGGAGACGGCTGTCTCGTGCTCCATGTGTAAAAAACTATGTCCATTAGCCTGCAAGGCAAACACGCAGCACAGTCAACAGCATGTGTGTGTGCTCGCATTCGTGTATAGAGGTATGTGTTCTGCAGATTTTCCATACACATGTCAATGTGTGAGTGTTTGTGGAAGGATGGAGGGTCACTGCCATCATTATCTCAGTAACACATCACTGTTGGGGGAAAAGAGAGAGAAGAGGAGGAGCTACACAGTCATGCTGTAGAAAGAGAAGGGGTAAAGACAAAAAGGGTTTTTAGATGAGTTCATCCAGCTAAACTGTACATCTTTTGGAGTGAAGATAAGAGACAACAGAGAGGAGGAGAAAACAAAGATTATAATTTACTGTAGATAAATCTTACACTGTAAAAGGCTGACATCTTATCTTGAGTCCCCACAGAGGCCTGGTCTAATTGGCTTGACTTTCTATAATTTATATTCATAAATATCAAGGAATTAGAACTTATATTTGTCCTGATTTGTATTTAATAGTTTAGTTTGAATGATTTAGAAATTAGTTTTCATCCTGAGATATAATATTGTATACCGGTAATATTTATATAGAACATTTTACCATTTATAAGGTGGAAAATCATTTAGTGTCGTTTACTTGTGGTATCACCATACATATGTACTGGTTAGCAGTATTAAGTTTTCCTAAGCTTTTATTGTTTAAATTTTTAAAACTTTAAATTTTAATGGAATGTCCGGGAATTTCGTTAGTTGGACAAAAATGTTTTCCGGTTCTTTAAAGAGTAGAGGAGGGAGGTCTCTCAATTCCCCAATTGTTGCTGCACACTGTCACTCAGCTGGCTAAAAAACAGATCAGGAAACATCAGAAGGTTATATATTTTTGGTTGTGTATGAAGAGCAGAATGGCCAAATTATATCTTTCTCTATAAGCGCTCATGTTTTTTAAACATAGTTTTAGGGTAACATTTGCATCAAAAAAAAAAAAAAAGTAAATCTGTCATTGTGTTTTGTTTTGTTTTTTTTTATAATTGGTTATCATTTTGAAATCAGAAGATTTTTATTTGTGGATAATTAGGATTAGATTTTGTAACTCTAAAAGATATGTAAAATGGGGAGTTTACCATTTTGCATAACTTTGTTACCACTTTCAGTAAAGAAGGTTCTTCTTAAGGCATCCCATCTGATCCCAAGCGTAGATTAGATTCCCATTAAGATAAACAAGACAAACATTATTTTTAGATATCCTGAGCAAACTGAGCTTCAGATCCTTGTCTGATTATTCTTCTGAATTTCATATGAATTACAGCCACTAGCTGGTCAATTAGAATAGCACATATATTTTATAGGAACACTTTCCCTAAAATCCTCACCTATGTTCAAAAGAATCTTTCAGTTTAAATAGAATTTTGAGGTGAGCATTTCGTGGCCATAGTGAAAGTTTTGGATGCTGGAGTTGTTATCCCTATAATCACGTCATTTAACCTGCTCCAAGCACTGAGCTTTAATGATCATGCAGTGGTTGGGGCAACTAAAAGCCAACTACCATGCATTAAAATATCATCAGCAGGAGAAAGATGTGCCTTGTCAACTGATAAATACATATTCAAGCTAAACATAGTTTTGTTTTAAAAATTATAATTTTGTATCAATGTCCTAGAAGTAAATTTGAAATAATTCATGCTTTTTTTTTTTTTTGTCATGCTCTCAGACCACTGATTATCCACTGATACAGATATCATTGAATAGAAAAACCAAATATATTTTTTTAATTTTAATAGTAGACAGCATTTACTTTCTTTTAAAGGTTTATATATATAATATATATAATATAATAAATGTGCCTTATGACAGCAAACAGATTTGAGCACTGACTTTTGAGTCTAATTTAAAGCGAAAATGATTGAAGTGTATTCTATTGTAGGAACTAGAACAAGTTTTAGACTTAACTTTAAGGTTTTTAAGTTCTAATTGCAATTGTTTATTCAGACAAGTCTAATGATAAAAACAAAAATGAAACAGTCAGGGGGAGAAAGCTCATGCCAGATATCTGTATGATAATGATACAGAGGCAGAATATAAAGCAGCATGATGCATTTGTCTTTTTACATGTAATATGAACAGAAGTATAAAGATTGAATGCAAAATTATTTTACAAAATACAAAAAAACATATTTTTTTTATTTGTTGGTTAAAGTCCTAACTTGATAGGATTTTGTTCTATGGATGAAACATTAGAAAATACTTTATGTCCTGCTGAATACCCTGCCTCCTTATTGGAAAAAGGTCGGATGATGCTGACTGTAGTCTGACGAGTGGGAGGATGTTACCTGTAGTATCTTGTCTCCAGGCTTCAGTGCGGAGGCAGCAGGCCCGTCATGCTGTACCCTAGTAACAAAGATACCCTATAAGTCAAAATGATACACCGTTAGGACTACACAGGGACACAATGGTTTAGAATCTTTGCCTTTCTCATGCTTATCTCAGTATTCAACCCAACCCCATACACGAAAAGATTTATTAAACAGAAATAAGATTTCTCCCAAAACAAAATAAAAAATAAAATAAAAAAAATTATAAACCGCAGGTTATAAATTGGAAAAGGAATAAAAAAAGGATTACACATATCATACTTTTTTTTAGAACCGTGTTAGCATTTTCAAAGGTAAAGGATTTCTTTTTTTTCTTGTAGAGAAGAGGTTCCCAACCCTGGTTTTAAAGTAGTGGTTTTCCAACTCAGTCCTCAGCACCTACTGTCCTCAATGTTTTACGTAGTTCCCTACCTCCACACACATCTGACTTAAATAAAATGTTGATTAGCAGGCCCCTGCTGCCTGTGGTCACTGCTGAGGAGGGAATGCAGGTTTGCTGGAGCAGAGACACATCTAAATCATACAGGAGAGTGGGTTCAAATACCCTTGCCCTGCATGTTTTAGTTTTAGTAATTTCAAGCAAAATTTAATCTCAGAGTTACTCATGGGAAATTTTTCAAAGAAATTGTATAGTTATTGATAGTTGTAGGCAGGAAGGACATCCTGTAGCGGTCTGTCTCGCAACGGATCTGGAAAAGCCTCTGACTGAAGACACTGCTATCCTTTAAAATTCTGATGAAGAGGATGCTCACTGTTGTCCATATTGTTCTTCACTTTATGAAGGATTTGTCTTTGTGAAAATATATCCATTGGTCCTAGAAGTGTTCCTAGACAGAGCCGGCCTCCTTTATTAACTTGGTGAGCTTTTTTAAGTCATTAGCTCTAATACCGTTACCCCAAAAGATGATAAGAGAAGAGATTGCACTCTCCACAACACTTAAAGAAAATATGTTGCATCTAGTTGCAAACTCTGAATGACCTTAGCTTCTCTAGAACAGCCCCTCTTCTTGTAGACAGCTTCACAGTTGTGTCACCAGTCTATTTTGTTTTCCAAGTGAACACCAAGGTATTTACATTCCTCTCTTAACTCCACTTCTCCCATTATGTTAGTAGGATTCAGCTTGTTCTTGTTTCTTCTGAAATCTACAATCATCTCCCTTGTTTTGTTGACATCCAGGAACAGATTATTGTTTCCACACCGTTTCACAAAGTGTTTCACCAGTTCCTGGTACTCAGCTTCTTGTCCATCTTTGATGCACCCAACTATTACTATTAGTCCTCCGAGAATTTCTGCAGAGAAAAGACTGCTTAATTAGAGAGTTGACTAGTCTGTCTAACAAACTGTGGTCTTTTTGTTGGGTAGTTTTTGATCCAGGCAAAAATTTGTTGATGCCTCCTCCTAAGTCATGGAGTTTCTAATAAAGTAAGTCAGGTTGAATTGTGTAAAATGCACTGAAGACATCAAAGAACGTGATCCTCACAGTGCTGTCTCCCTTGTTTAAATGACATTGGGTTTGTTGAGGCAGATCTATGATGATATCTTGAACTCCAACTTCACAGTGATAAGCATACTGCAGGGTTCTTGATTGCTGCTTGCTTGCTCAGTTGAACCAATGTCTCTCCAGGACCTTCATGATGTGTAATACAAGGGCAACAGCTCTATATTCATTGAGGACTTTTTAAAACGAGTTTTCATTGGTACAGTAGGTAGAAGAACTGTCCACTGGGTCAGGCTAGTAGAATCCCACAGAACTGCTCTGCAAAGGCCATCAGGACTCTACTGTAGGGCTGGCACCATCTTGACCTGGTGATTTATTGCAATTCTGTCTTTCCAGGTTCCTCTTTATTTGACTTCTAGAGACAGATAGTTGGGAGGCGTGGGTGGAAGCACCATCTTCTGATCTGGCTGAGAAAAATCTCAAAGAAGCAGGAGTCAATGGCAGGGGTGGAAGATGAAATATTTGATATAACAGAGAAGCTTTGGGTCAAAGAGGGCAGGATGACTGTGGGTAAGACAGAAGAATGCTGAGCTTGTTCCTGAACTGAACCGATTGACGAATGTATTTAGTTTGTTAGCTCTATCGGGAGTTTTATCTGTATGATCATCCTTTTGCTTGAAACCTGTGATCATCTTCATCCATGACTGTGCATCTATGATATTGTTCTGCCGAAGCTTGCTTTACAGCCTTTTCCTGTGTGCCTCCTTGCTTTCTCATATCTTGACCTTAAGTTGCTTCTTTATACTCCTTAATAATAACCAGTCTCCATTCCAGAAGGCTTGTTTTTTCTTATTAAGCAGTTCCTTCAAATCACTTGAGATCCATGGTTAACATTATTATTTTGGAAGAATTTCACTGCTCTAGTAGGAATGGTGTTATTCCAGAGAGAAGTTTATGTAGTCAGTCACACACTCAGTCATTGCCTTAATTTCCTCTCCAGAGGCTGACACAGTGCATCCCAGTATGCAGCCTAAAAACAATCTTGCTTTGCTTCTTCAGCTTCCTGTGACCATCTTCTTATATTATTATTTTGAATGCTGGTTGTCTCTTCTAAAGGGGCAAAAACTCTGAGCAGAGTAAAACAAGATTGTGATACAATTTCCTAAGAAGAGGTCTTAGTGCAGAGATGTACATTAGCAGCCATTGAAAATGGGCCTTGCCAGTCAAATGCCATCTGAATGGCAGCCCACTTCCCTCCAACTCCCAGCAAAATCCCATCCAACTACCAGCAACTGGAGTGAACCCCTCTTGCATACTTTTTTAATTTGACTACAACCTTTCACTGAATTACATGATCAGACCAGGAGTTAACACTTCTTTTTAGATCTTAATGTCCACAAATCATGACAGAAAGAATATTTTATATCAGAGTCCATTTAGCAGAGCTACTTCAATGTGCAGCTACGTTAAGCAGCTGGATTCTAGAATGATGACCTCCTCAGCAGATGTTAAGTGCAGCAGAAGCCTAATAATTACTTATTCATATGTAAGTCAGGTGTGTGGCAGCAAGGAGTCTCATAAACCCTGCTGGACAGGGGTACTTGGAACAAGGTTGGGAACCACTGAGAGATGGTTTGTAATATGTTCTCATTCATGGTCGGGAGGGAATACTGCCCCGTATGTTTTAGGTGTCTCTTTGTTTTAGCTCACTTTATTCAAAAGGTTGCATGAACACCTCAGAAGCTGCAGAAGCCTGGCAATCATTCACCTATATAAGACAGGTGTGTGGCAGCAAATAAACACCTAAAGCATGCAGGGCAGTGGTCCAGGTGAGGACCAGTATTGAGAACCACTGGACTAGAACTTAAAATGCAGCAAATTAAACAAAAAAGAATATACTTAAATAATATAAGAAGAAAATAGCTGTCTGATGGGTTTTGACTTTTAAAATAAAAAAAAATACATATCACCAGTAACACCCCCCCTGTTTTTCTCAATTACCCAAGGCAGAGATTGTAAAAACACCAACATCTTTTCACCGAGAGTTGAAAGATGTTTTTGAACACAGATGTGTCAGACAATGCAGCTGTATCACTCCATGTGGTTCAACAGGCAGCTTACATGTTGAGCACAGATTAGTAAGCTACACATATAAATGTGCCATTGAGGAGTGAACAAGAGAACCAAAAACATAATGCAGTAGTGATGTGTGCAGCATCCAGGACACTACAGTAACTAAACAGCATTAGACACGAATAGGTATCAACTGTACCATGAGCCTCATACATACAGTAAGATATCTGAATGATCTTGTGACAAACCGGATTAATTTGCCATGCAGACTTTTGAAAAGACAACTCTCTGAGTCAATTCATATGTGATTGTATAAAGCTCATGGTATATATTAAGTGAATATGTTTTTAGCTGAGATAATGTGATATTAGAGACAACAGTTAAATAATTTGCACAGAAAAAACAAAACAATAAAAGTTGCACACAGAGCTACAACACTGAAATGTTCATAAAGGTAACACCGTGAAATGTTCATAAAGGTAACAATTTCTATTGTAATTTGCAAAGTTGTCCAACTTAAAACCCAGTGCTAAACCATTTTGATTTTTCTGACAGATACTATTCTTTTTTTGTCAACAATCTCCTTTAAGTCAGAATAGTTGATGACATTATTAAGTAAAAAATATATATATTTTTAAGAAAAAAAAATACATGTGGGGGATACTACACGAGTTATATAAGTATAGTTTGAGTAAAAAAGAAAACTTTTTTTTTTCATACAAAGCCTACATTCTCTATCTAGTCACTGGGGGAAAAAAACAGCAAACTTTCTTCTCACTGAGGTCTAATTAGCCAGAAGCTGAAACTAACTCAGTGGTTTAAGGAGCCTCTGCTAGCCTTTTAAAGTAAATTTTAGAGGATTATTGTTTGTTCTGTTCAGGCACTTATAAGGACTTCTAACGAGTGTTATCAATGAACCTGACAGTAAAAAATTTATTAGGTTTTAGATTTTACTCATAGATTAATTTTAATAGAATTTAAGTGACATTTTTACAGCTAGCATTTACACTCTATTTCTTATTAACCAGTTGTTCGTTAAAATACAAAATCCTTTTCAATGTAGGTGTACAATTATTCATTATTACAATTCTGTTCTATTCTATTATGTTCTATTCCCCTTATGTCAACCCAAAGCAAAAAACAAGTTTACAACTAGAGGGAGCTATCACACTACATTTTCTGCATTTTTGATTTTTGTAATGGGCTCTGTGCACTACTCCACTATTTTTTTTTTAACTTAAGGCATCTCTTTTGTTTCATGTTTTTTTCTGCTGAATTAATCCAGGTGTGCCTGACCTCAATAACCATGGTCAGACAGACCTGGATTAATCAGTTCAACCAGTAATGAAAAACAGGAAACAGAGGAGCTGCCTTAAGTTCAGGAAGTAGTGGAGTTATGCATATAGCCCATGAACTGTAGTTCTGATATATTATTTTGTGAACTATTTCTAATAATTCATACTCACGGTCTGGCCATTTTACCAAACCTAGTAGTCTTCTTTTAGATGATATTCAATGTTTGCAACATCAGGTGTAAAGATGTTTGCTATGCGGATCAATAAAACAGAATTCAATTAAGGTAGGGAGTTTTGCAAGTAAACCACTCCTAAAGTAAATTATCCCATAGTTTGATGCTGCTATTTTATTATGGCTGGTTTTCTATGGATGTTAAGCACTGTTAGTCATTTGACAAACACAGAAACTTTTAGTATTTGACCAATCCCTTTTGTGACTGGTGGATAACTTAACATTAGGTTTCTTTTGGCCTTCGTTTAAAACTGTTATCTTGATGCCCCTCTTCCATTAAGTCAGTTTTTGGTAGAGCGTAAAACTTGCAGTTATCTTATACACAGATTCTGTCGATAGAGTACTGTCCAAAGCTTCAGGTGTCTTTAAGACGGTTTTACATCCAGAAAAAGAAATTACACATATGTGAACCCTAAAGCATTTGGTTGCACTGAATATGCAACCAATATGATTTAGGTGTGTCCTAATAAAGGGTCCTAACAACATGCATCCAACACTCATATTTTTAATAAGAAATTAAATAATCCCTCATGCTCCTTCAACTTCACAATCTTCTATTTATAGTCTTAATATTTTTAAACCTTTTGTTCCAAAATGATAAAAAATTAAAATATTCTAACACTGTGAAAAAATGCTGCATAGATGATCTTCATATTCTCTTTATCACGGGATTTATAATTGGCAAATTAAAACTTGCAGAAAGCTTTATGGATACAAGTATATTAGCTCCTATAAAATAACTGCTTGAATCAGCAACATCCCCACCATCTTTATCTCAAGACAAAGGTTTTATTTCTACATTAATGGTTAGACTTAACAATTCGTCCCAGTGGCTATATGGAAAATTAATGTTTAAAGGACTCTCTCTTTACAAGCTTTTCTTGATAGCTACTGTAGGCTGTCTTGTCAGTTTTTGCTCAGAATAAAGTTTCACACCTTCCATTCCTGAATCAAAGCATGGAACATCTAAAATCCCCCACAGTGTCCCAGAACTAAGCAGGCAACTAAAAATAGCAAATGGAGCTTTTTGTGTGCAGCATCTCACGTCTTTAGACTGACTTAAGACGTGTGTTTCTAGGACAACTTGCCTTGTAGATCAGGCGTCTGGGATCTACAACCCCAACAGACTTTTGATGCAGACGCTGACAGGCTCAGTTACATTGATGAAAGAGTTTGGCATATGTTGTTAGATTTGTACAAGTCTGATGATGTTACAACTCAGTTGAAACTGTTGTGACTTCACTAAGCAGATAACAAACCACAGACCTATGGCTGCTGGATAGAAAAAAACCCCAATGCAATTCTTAGGTATCACTTTTAAAGGTTTTTCGAACTACTTCATAAATCTGAGTTAAATTTTCAAGAAATGCAGTCAATTTGTTCGTGTTTATGTGTTTTCACCAATTGCAACACAGTAACCTTATTTCAAGGACTGTTTTCAAACAGCAAAATCTAAACTGAGTTAACTAAGTCAGAATCTGCCTCACAGACAGAAAAAAGAAACACTGCGGTAACGAGCAGCAGTTTCCATAGCAACGCTGAAGTAAAGCGAAGAAGGCTGTGATTGGCTGACAGGCTGGGTCAGGTCGTACCATGTCGGAGGGTTTGAAGGGGTTCCCCTGGCCACTGATGCCACCAGAGATACTGAAGCCAAGGCCGGGGTTCTTCTCTATTCTCACACACAACTATGCAGGAAGAGGAGAGAAAAAAAACAAACAAAGGGAGAGACCGTGGAAAGTGAAATACATAGATTGTGAAAACTGATTCATATGCGCAGAGTAAATATATATGTGGAAAACATTTTTGGCAGCGGTTAGGAAGTCATCCTCTCTCTGGCAAGAACAGCAATGCCACAAATAACGCTGTCATAGTTTTGCTTTTGGCATAATAGAGACCATCTATTGCAAGGAAGGGGGGAAACAAAAACCCTAGTAGCTGATCGCTGTACAGACTGGTGTAAATGACTTCATGTTCTTTTCTAGACTGGAACAATGATCTCCATCTGTGAAATGTTTCTAATTAGAACTGTGGTTCTGCGATGCTAACTTACATTTGGATGCCCTAATCATCTCCACATTTTGTCAATATTAGTAGCTTGTTTATTAATGCAATGACTTTGATAAAGGGCATTAAATCTCTTTCATAGTATCCAAATGTCATCGCTAAACATCCTGCATTCTATTAAACTATTTGCTGTGTGATAAACAATTATGCCTTTGCTAGTGTCGTCAGTAGGAGACAGCCTAGATTAACTTTGATCCTTTAGAAAACAACTGGCACTAGCATAGTCCTTTTACAAGCATCTCACATGACTGGCTAAGAGAAACAGCTGGAGAGGCAGACATACCTGCTCTTGGTAACCATCCATGCTTTTCTGGCCTTTAGTTTGTAGCAGACATCGAGCACTCTGAGGTCTCGGGTTGTTGTGGGAAGTCATGACGGACTGGTTGCTGTGGACCATGCCTTGATTGACATGATACTGTGGATTGGTTGCAGGCATGGAGGACTGATGGGAGGAGTGAGGGTTGTATTGAGATTGGTTTCCAGACGATGACAGGGCCATGGGCAGGCCACTACTCGGATAAGCCTGGCCAGGGGAAGAAAGAGCTGCAGAAAACAAAGAAACAAAATTGGACTTCTTACCTGATGTTTTTAGACCTTACATTCATCAAGACTATATTAAACCTAATATAATGCAGTTACAACAACTTATTTAGCCAAAAGATATAAATAATGCATCATATGTGCACATGAGGAGAAATCATAAGTACCAAAACAGGGCAGAAGCATAATGCTTATATGCCGAAATCTAAACCTGCAAAATTCAACTATAGAAAGAAACATTTTGAACCTTTATTCATCGTTCAGTGATGTTAAACTGGTCAAAATATTTTCTTTTTAAGAAGGAATAATGAATTACAGTTTTTTTTCTTTGCTAACAGTATTCCAGAATTGAACTCAAAGAGCAGACAAATATTTCTGTTTTTAACCTTTTAACCTTTGGTACCATAAACTTGCCTTTGTCTCTTAGACTAAACTTTGTTTTCTATGGCAAAAAAAAAAGTTTGTGACATTCACTGCACTGATTACGTCACATGATTTCTAGAAATATATTTTTCATAAAGCACTATTTCAATCATTCTTTCATAAAATATACTTTTTTTTCCTTTTTTTTAATAATTGAATACGTGTGATCAAGGTAGATTGCCCAATTTATTCGGCTCATTGTATTGTAATAAAAACTCTAATATTGACTACAGCTTTAAAAGTGGTCCCCAACACTTTTACTGGCTAGAGTAAAACAATAAACTGGGCATTAAAACTAAACAAGTATTTGGTTTCATACAAAACATCCGTGTTGTTTCTTTTTTTACTCATATGTAGTAAACAAGCTTGTAAACTGGAAGTAAAACAAAGGATGATCATTTTTTTACCAAACTGATGAAAAGTTTGCCCTGTATCTGTGTTTAGTGCCTCAATAGATTGTTAAACCACCTTTTGCTGGAATTAGAACCGCAAGACTTTTGGGGAATGTCTCCTCCAGCTTGGCATTAAGATACTGTGCTTGTTTTTGTTTTGCAAAATAGATAAAGTAAGGTCTAGGCAGATTGGATGGGTTTTGTTAGCGATCATCAATTTTGAAATTTTGCAACAATTCTATATTTTAAGGGAGTCTTAACTTTGATTTGGGAAGCTAATTAAGGTTAGAAAAAAATTGATTGTTTTTTCTTCTACTTTACAATTATATACTTTGTATTAAATAAAATGCTTCATGGACATCAAGCATGATATAATTTTGCAATAATCTGTTTTGCTTCAAAAGTTTTATTTTTTTGTCACATTCTATGTTATTTAAAATATCAAACCTTTAAATATGAAGTCATTTTTTTGTTTACCCTGTGAAACATTGCCTTGGTACTGCCCGGGGCCACCAGCAGGTACTACTGACAGGGACATTCCTTGCTGGTATTGCCCACCCTTGTTCATCATCCCATCATAAACCTGCTGCCCAACGACACGATGCGGCACAGTGGACGAGGAGGAAGAGGTGGAGGTGACGATCATAGTGTTGTGTGACTGATGTGAGGAGTTGTGTGAATGTCCACCCTGTGGAAAAAAGAGACATGGAAGACAGATGACTTTCCACTTAGTCATGATCACACCTATGTTACCACTCACCAGTTTGACTGATCTAAAATCAACGTTTGTCATCTATGATCAGAACATTTCAAAGGCTTAAAAATAAAATCCAAAGCGTATCTGTATCATTAACCTCTTACCTTTTTCATGAGGTTCTCTGGAGGAACGTCTCTTCGACCAAGAGAGTAGGGAGCCCACTGGTTGCTCCCTGGGACCTCCTCTTGGTCATTATCCAGCATTGCAGCCTGCTGGGAAGGTGTCTGAGGAATGCAGAGACAGGGAAACACCAAAAGGAGTAGGGTTATTCTCCTGAGTTAAAGTTGGTAAGATATTCTCTTTCAACAGGAACAGGGATATAACAACATATTTTGACCAAAAATCAGTTAATTATCTTCATAAGCATATGTCAACATGGAAGGAAGACTGACACCTCTGACAATTAGGACTTCTGACTACTGTTACAAAAAGCCTTAACCAAAACTTTTGATCAAAACCTTTATATCCAACATTTGAGAATATGCAATTATTTCATTGAAGCTTAGATGTCCATAGGAGCGATCAATACTTGGTAAGATGATCTTTCAGAAACCTTGTTTGTATGTAGAGCAGAAGGGTGTGGAAACTAGGTCTTAACTTTAGGTAATCTGGTAACAAATAACAATTATAAGTATATTTTTCTTTTAAAATGTTTTTACTCAAGTCTACATCTTTTTTTCTATAACCTTGAGGGACCACCTGATAAACTGCCTTGCAGAAATGTAATGCTAATCCTTCACCAGTGTGTTACATTTCTATTTGCCATAGATTATTCTTCCTTGACTGGTGTGCTAATATTTCTTAACCTTTCTGAGGCAAATGCACTTCTAAGAATGCTAAGAGTTGGGCTATTCTCACATTTGGTAAGATCATTCAAAAGAATGTCCATATTACAAACATTGTAACAACTGAAAATAGTGTAGGAAATTGATGCATAATCATTTTTACTTCCAGCTGACCAATTTTCAACATTGTAATATGTCAAAACTGCTGTCTATAAGCTGCTAGATATTTGGGTGATTCAAAGAAATCCTGTTTAGGAAACATTAATACAATAAGCTGTATCAGGACTCTTCTGGTATTTGAATAAAAGCAAGTTTTAAAATACCAAAAAACCTGTAAAAAAAAAATTGCATGGGGTTAAAAAGACAAATGGTCTTGGCTCCTTCTAGCTCTCTGTTATTATTTGTGTGAAGTAATTGTAACCAGGGTTTCAGTACTCTCATAGGGGGATACTCACGGTGATGGCAGATGGAGGAGGAGGTAGTGGCAGCCAGCGGCCAGCAGGGGGCTCATGCCTAGTGTTATTATAAAGGTTAAAGTTCAAAGTGGTGCTGCGCCCCTGGCCGTGACCCTGATAGAGCATGCCCAGCGTGAGCGTGTTGTGCTTTAGGACACCACTCTGATTGGAGAAGACAACATCACATGACATGGGTGAATGACGGGGGGAGGGGGGTGGGTGGAGCCAACACAGCGAGCCAGCACAGCGAGCCAGCACAGCTCCACGGAACCAAATATACAAACAACAACAGTAACACTTATAAGAAAACAACAACAAGAGTGCAGATTTGCTGAAAGCACAGAAAAATGTTAGCTAGTGATCGGTCAATACACACAAAACATTGTCATACAAGCAACAAGAAGTGGATCAGTTCATTCCAGCAATTATATCCAAGCCTTCAGACTGAAATATGAAAATAAAGCAACATATACTTAGCTTAATACGTAAATAAGAATTGTATCCTTCAAACTTTGTAAAAAATGTTAAAAACATTTTTTTCTTGTGCTTTACGTTTTGGCGACTGGATAACAGTATTGACTTCATTGTTGTCTTAATCTTGTTTTTTTCTAGATCTCTTAGGAGCATTAGATTTAATGGCGATAGAAAAATCAGAAAGATCATAATTAGTTTGGCATTTAAAATAAGCTAATTGATTTGTTTTCTTTGGAGGAAACCTGTCATATTAGTTATAATTAAATCTGCCTGGGATATGGAAAAGTTCATTTTGGGCTTAGCTGTAGAGAAATGCCTTATATTTGGACAGTGAGGTACAGGTTTTCATTTGGTTGCTGGTTCATTTTATCAGCTTTAAAAAAAAAGAGTATCAACTGTCATGAAAAATAATTGGAAAAAACTTGAAAGATTATCCTTTGTTAATATCTGTGTTTTAGATATGTGTCAAGACAAAATCTCCTCATATTTTATAATGACTGTGATTCATAGGATCTTTTGTCTTTTTTCAAACAAGTGGAAATTATAAAGAAATATCAGTGATTAACATCAGCATACTTTTCTAACACAAACTTTAATTACCAGTAATTTTGGTAACTTTTCACTTGTTTGAAAAAAATGAATAAGAAAACATGACACACACAAAATAAGTCTGTATAATAGAATGGAGATTTTGCTGAACTGAATGTAACGGAATGTGACTTTTCAAAGCACATATCCTTCGGTGAGTGTGCAGTTGATCAGGCTGACACAGCGACAGTGTGGAGGGGACACACATGCAGCTGAAAACAAATCTTGTCAACCTTAAAACACAAACTTACACTGATACAGACAGGAAGGGCTTCTGTGCTGTATATTCATATGTATGTGTGAGTGATGTGATTCTTTTTTCTCTAAAGTATCTGCATTGCACAGACGTACCCTGTCCAATCGTTTGGCCTCTATGTGCCTAAGAAGTTGTTGCCTCCAGTCAGCTGGCATCTTTGAAGTGATGTCCTCTGGTTTCGGCTGCACACCAGGTCTAACTTTGATGGTGTCCTCAGACGGTTTCTCAGGACATGTTGCCAAAGTGTAGTCGGGTGGCATCTTCTCCAGCAAAGCAGCCATGGTTGGACGAGCTGACACCGGACGGGCCTGATTTGCGGTAAGGTATCATAATACAAGCCAAAAGAAGAGAAGCAAAAAGTCTGGAATGAAGCCAGGTATTTCTGAGTTTAAACTAAATTAACTTGTCAGGCACTGCACTAAAAACATATATTATGAGTTTTTCCAAAAGTTATTAAACAGTAAGGTAAGAACCATAAAACTACTTTATAGCTTTTCAAGCTTGTGTTATCCTGAACGACACCAGATGAAACGCTTTGCACATCTAATCAGGAATGCTGTTGGACACACCTCTTTAGCTATTTTAAGAACATCAGCCTTAAAACTCACCCATAATATTCTGAAAGGATTACTCATAAATGAGGGGATATCTTGAAAACAAGAACACTATCTGTACTATGCATACTACTTACTGTAGATAAAGGCAATCACAAGAAAAGGATTTAAACAAACATTTTTTTGTAATCCTAAATCATTCAACTTCTCTGCCAAAATAGGCCACATCCACGCCTTTCCATTTAATTCATGAGCAACTCCATATACTTATATGAGATCATGGATTTTAATGAATTTACTACTGTAGTTTAATTTATGTTGTTGAATATACAGCAGATATTTAAGCTTTCTATTCCAGGTATCACACGCCCATAACATGCCTCTCCATTTCTGCAGGTCCTTTCCATTAACTTCTGTTAATTTCTAACCTATTTCTACAGCCTAACTGACTCTCACCCTGACCTAACCACTATGGGTTCATACCTAACCCTAAGCCCATACTAAATTTAATTCATACATTACTTCTAAACGTGACCCCTCACTCTAAAACAGCCATTCCTCAGTTTCCATGCCTACAATTGATCAAATAAAATAACACACACACCCATGCATACAGTGGGGCAAGTGTGCAAGTTCTCCTACTCTGTAATTGTCAAAAATTCCAGCAAATCACATTGTAGGATTTTTTCTGTCTGTGTGCGTATGTTTGTATACAGTAAATACATAGTATCTATTAGGTTTCATGACAGATGATGACAGATTTTAAACACATTTTGATGTTAAAACCAATCTTTGATTTTGTAACCATTTGGTTTAAATGTCCTGCATTTCTGTTTGGGATTAATAAAGTATATTTTTTCAATCAATGCAGGTTAACCAAGATGGCTACGCCTGAAAGCAGGGGCGTGCTACAGCTCCAGACAAACACAAAATACGCCGATTAGAACGCTACAAATTAGGCATCGATCCTGCATCTACAACCGCCAGAGCCTGCTGGAGCATCGGTCACAAAATGTAGTCTCTGGACTCTTAAATACAGCCACTCTTGGCTGTTTTAAAGGTTGTGGAGTTCTTCGGACGGATGTAACAAAATGGTTAATACTTGATCTCTCTTAAAAAAAGGAGTGTAGTAACTGTGCCATCATCCTGACTGAATCATGGCTTCATCAATACCAGACAATGCTATTAGCTTGCAGGGGTTCTCCTTATACCACGCTGATAGAAACTGAGAGCTCGGCAGTAAGACTAGGGGGCTGGAAGGGGGGATGTATGTGCATGTAAACAACAGCTGGTGTAAAAATTCTAGATCAGTTGCCAGCTTCTGCTCTCCGGAAATCAAGTTTCTGACAGTTAACTGCAGACAGCTCGATCTGCCCAGAGAGTTCAGTGGGATTAGCATCACTGCTGTTTACGTGCCCCCCAGCAGTAATACATAAGAGCCCATGAAGACTCTATACCAGGCTATCTGCACGCACAGGGCGTTTTCATCATTGCAGGGGATTTTAACCAGTCTAACTTGAAGACTGTGCTCCCTTACTTTTACCAACATGTGGACTCAGGGTGTAAACACTTTAGACCTGGTTTACTCTAAAATCAAAGGTGTTTGTTTTTTGTTTGTTTTTTTTTTGGTCCAATATTGCTCTTAGAACAGTTTGGGTTGCATCATAGTACCAGCATGCTTTAAGTCTGCCACCATCATTCCGCTCCCAAAGAAGCCTCAGGTCACCTCCTTTAATGATTACTGGCCTGTCGCACTGACTCCCATCATGATCAAGTGCTTCGAAAAGCTGGTTAAAGAACATTTCATCTCCAGTCTACCCCCAACATTCGACCTGTCCCAGTTTGCCTACTGACAGAACTGCTCCACTGAGGACGCCACCTCCTCTGCTCTTCACCTGAGCCTGGCACACCTGGAGGAGAAGAACACCCACATGCGGATGATGTTCCAGGACTTCAGCTCAGCTTTCAAGCTTTTAACATCATCATCCCACAGAATCTAATAGGCAAACTGGAACAGCTGGGCTTCAATACACCCCTCTGCAAGTGGCATTTAGATTTCATCACAAAAAGACCTCACTCAGTCCAGATCGGACAGAACACCTCTGATGTCATTACTCTAAGCACAGGCTCCCCTTAGGACTGAGTCCTGAGCCCCCTGCCCCCTGATCCCACTCTGATGTCACACGACTACATCCCCAGGTTCACCACTAATTATATTGTGAAGTTTGCAGACGACACCACAGTGGTGGGCCTCATCAGAGACGACTATAGCCAGGACTACAGAGAGGAGTTGGATCAACTGGTAGACTGGTACAAAGATAACAGGCCTGATCCTGAACGTGGAGAAGACGAAGAAGATCATTGTTGACTTCAGGAAGAACAGTAGCACCCAGAACAATAATGAGGAGTTTGGCATCCATTCTTTACCTGATTTGTGTGTCAACTGTAACGGTTGCTAGGCAACAGCATGCATGGAGGGGTAAATGCCAGATAAAGCTGGACCAGTTTAAATCAATAGCTAAAACTCTTTCGACCTCCTAATTTTCATGGAACTCAAAGGTCCCGGTCCCTGTAGACCGTCTTGTTCAGTTTTAAAAAATTATCATATTTAACCTTTACCTATTAATTACATGGCCTTCATTAGCCTTATTCAAAACAATATAATTAATAAATAAGAAGTTAAACCATAGTTCATGACTTAATATGAAAAACTGCAGAGAAGCAACTGAAACTGAAATCTCTTCCATCCCTCCCTTTGAAATAGCAGTACAAGTTATATTTCCAAAAAGCATGAAAACATGCTTAATGAAAAATATCCTAATAATATTAGGAAAGAAAAGATAACATCTATATTTCATGAATGCAAAACGATATATGTTTCCAATTATGCCTGGGAACCCCAAAAAATATCAATGACATCTCAAAATGTGATAGCAACCATCTGATACCTGCAGTTCTGTGATGTCTTGTGGATTTGCTCAAATGTGCAACAGACTCGGGTTAACTTCAAGAAGTCCTGCTACTGACTGGAGGTATTTCACAAATTGAGTTAAGATTACGGCTATCTAGCTTTCTAAAATCGAAAATCCGGGGAAAATGCTGGGATTTACCTCAAAAACTTTTCAACGTTTTAACTTATCCTTTCTCCTGAAATGTGGCTCAGAAAATATTCTACATACTAAAAAAGGAAACAAAAACTTACTCGTAGGTTTAGTGTGTTTTCTTTCCATGTATCAATCCATCTATCTATCTATGACTCCTGGACCAATTAAATCGCTCATGGGTGGGGGAGGTTTTGCTGCAGAATCCATTAAGCTACCCAACAAACCAATGTGTGGGCACTAGAACATCAGCCATATGATATCACAATCAACCACTTTTAAATAATACATTTGTTTAAAAAAAACGTCAATCTTTTTAACCTACCACTCCCACATAAATATAACAGTTTACCCTTCTTTTTAAAGCCATTGTAATTAACAGTTGTCTTAGTCAACTCTGGGCAAATCCTAAAGAATCATGAATACTTCTAGCTCTATACCAAACAAAAATGTAAAGTGGCTTTAAAATAATTACATTTCCCTGTAAAAGTCCAGTATTATCTTTATACATCTTTCTCTTTTCCATATTATTATTATTATTTTTTTTATTAAAAGCTGTTGGAAACAACAATTATTTAATTTACAAGAGGTAGAAATAGCATAATTATCAGTGAGATAAGTTGTCACTAACAAGCAAAGTTTTTTTGATTTGGAATTACTAAAATTATATATAATTTCTGAAGAGCTAAAGTGTTCTGAGTGTCACCTGAGATGCTCCATAGGTTTCAGTACTGTAGCTCCTAGCTGACAGGGGGCGACGCTGAGTCAGACTTTTGGTCGGATAACCAATCATGGGCTTCTTCTGTTCCTGGTATGTGGTATAGTCATCATCATAGCGACCGTTTCTCTTGTTGTGCATCATTTGGTTTTGGTTGTCAGACATGTTGGTCAGGGCAGAGTGTTCCATGGGGGAGGAATAGGCAAGAGCCCGACTATAATGAGGGGGGTCCGTCTGAGAATATAACAAGAAGGACAAACCAACAAATTTCAAATTAGAAATATCAGATTGTTTTCCTCTTTATTTTAAATTTTGGTGCACAAAACTTTTATTATCAAATGAGTAGTAGAAATTAAACTAATCAATTAAAAAAGAATGCATTAATTATATATCTAACTGTAAATAGGTTTGTCCAAGAAAAAAGAAAGTTGTAATGTATAGCGAATGTACAAATTAATATTACCATAATATATATAATCAATCAAATAGCCAACAATCAGAAGAATATATTTGTTCAACGACATAAAAAGGCTGACCATAGTTTTTTGTATTATTTTCAGGAATTACCTAAATTTAAAAAAATACAGTACCAGAGAATATTTGATATATTGGTAGAATATGTAATCTCTGGTTTAATATAAACCTTTTTATGATGATTTATATGTTAACAATGATTTATAAAGATACATTTTCTTCAGTACTCGCTCCTACCTGCTGCTTGTACTGAGCTTCTTGTAGCGCCTCCTGCTGGGCTTCATGAACTCTACGAAATAAGGCAAGCTCTGTAGAGCTTACCAAAGAATCAGCTCTCCTCAAAAAGCCTGGCCTGGAGCGCTGAGTTGAGATAGTTTGCTGCTGCTGCTGCTGGCTGTGGGAACCGTCCTGGTTGATTGGGCCTTGGGGGAATGAAAACATCTCCAGTGGTGGATACGCACGATAACGAGGACTCACAAGCTCCTTGGGTAGTGTCTTCCCAGGCTGACTCAAGTAATCCATGGCCTTTGATGAGTGGTTAACATAATCTGGTGTGTTAGGGAAGGGGGGAGGGATTCTGCGATCTATGGTCATCTGATTGGATAGAAGGTTCATCAATGAGTCATTATAAAAATGTCATGCATTTTTCATTCAAAATCTAAAATCTTATTATAATTACACGAAGTTACTCCATATTAGCATTTTTTAATTAGAAATTTGTTGAAAATCAATGTTATTTGATATGTTTCTAATACAAAGTCATATATATAAAAATGGTATTTTACCTGGGGGTTGTAGTTTTGGTCAAAGTGATAGGCCTTGTGAGGAATGGTAGGTTTCTGATTTTGTCCAGACTGATTCTGGCTGCTACCTCCATGTCCTGGGAAGCCCATCTCATCGTCTAACATGGGTGCAGACTGAGACCTTGACATGCTGGTCTGCTCCATGGAACCAGGGAGCTCTTGACGGTCCAAACTAGTCTGCTGTTCAATGGATGAACTGTAGCTTTCCATAGGAATACTATGAGGAAAAATGAACAACTGGAACCAAAATACTTAAGAACATCACAAGCTGCACCACAATTTCATTTGGGGGACCTAAATCTACCAATCTGCAACCTAGATAATCAGATCCTTGTCATGATCGGTGAAAGATTCATACATAAGAGGTTAAAAAAACAGAAAATGCTTTCTTGAGATAATGAGTTACTTCAGCAGGGAGCACTGAAATTTAGCAGTTTTAAACATCATTCCAAAATGAAAAAAGAGATTTCCATGAGAATTCCCTGCTCCTTCTCACAAACACCTGTTGGAACGTTTCATCTTGTCAAAATGATAACACTAATCTTCTATTAATTGCAGTGTATGGAGGACTAGAAAAAATACTTCAAATAATGTTGCTTAATCCTGTGGCAAAATAAAATCAGAATTCTTAGGTATCATTATCAACAGCTAAAAACTTTGGGAAATCTCTAAGTGGCAGGAGGGAGACTTTTGATTTGCTGAGTTAATATGGGTCCTGAACTTACCTGTAGACTTTGTAGGAGCCAATGTCAATCTCATCTATACTCTGGGACTTCTTAAACTTGGATCGCGTCTCCCTCATCATTGGAGAGAGTCGGTCTGAGCTTTTACTCATCACCACTGTTACTTTGTTTCCTCCACCAACACTGAGCTGATCCTTCCTGATCTGCTCCCCCTGACTGTTGTGATATGTCCAGCTTCCAGGCAGAGGTCCTGAGCCTTGCTCCAGTCTTAAAATAAAACATAGGGAGTTATAAAATTGACTATATCAATGAAGACAGAAAAAAGCAGGCCTGCTTCTGTTTAAATTGTCTATGAGAGTAATTTTATTGCTATGTCAATATTCATTATGGCTGAGTAAATGTTGTGAGTGTTTGTTGTTCTCCAACAGTTTTAAGATGTAACAACACTTCTCAGCAAATTCTCAGTTACTCACCTTGAGTCAATGTCTTTACGATCAGGGTTGGGGCTTGAGGTGGGTGTCAGGTCCAGCTTCGAGGGGAAAGCGGTTCTGTCCTCCAAAGGGCTGGGAGTTCTGGTCCAGTTCTGCCAGGGGTTCTGGGAGGGAGGTCCAGAGGACTGATGGTCATTATCCGCATTTGAACGTTGGTTACCGTGGTAGGGGAGTGTTTGGGTATCCAGCTCCAAAGGGACTCCTACAATCCGATCTTGCCTGAGAAGCGGCCGGCGGCCATGTGCTGACTGACTGCGGGGTTTGGAGCCCAGAGGAGGGTTACCCTGACTTGTATTAGAGGATGGAGGGTCCATAGGAGATTCTTCAGCATCAAAACCTGTGTTATCATAGTGTTGAGCCTCAGACCAATCAAAAGGCTCGCTGAGCGGACGCCGATCTCCCCGTTGCTGCAGGGTTCCTGATGGAGGAGTTTCTCTCTGAGACAGCAGGGGTTTGGAGTCAATAGGCTTTGGAAATGACTGGGCAAGTCTGCAAAATAAAACATATTGGCAGTTAATTAAAAAGAAAACAGTTAAAAAAGAACCAGATTATACTAAAATGCCATGTTGAAGTTACATGTGTTGTGCAAAACAAACCTACAGGTGCTAGAAACAGGACTTTATCTTTGTAAAACCACTCCTAAAATTCAACTGAGCAAAGGACTATGTTTAGGGTAATTGGATATCCCAGAGGGCGAATGCCAAAAGAAATGCCATTAACCTCCTTTCTCAGAAAATAATAAAGACATAAATCATACAAATTATAAAATGGCAAATACAAGAAATACAAGGCCTAAGTAAAAGAGGGATGTATGAATCAGAGTTTTTCTAAGAAGTTATATTCCTAGTAAATCAACTTTTCAACTACAGCTTCTTTCAATACCAAGCTGTCAATATGAAGCAGAAAATAAAAATATCTTCAAGGTCCAATTTGCTACGAAATTCACAAAAATAAGGATTATTAGAAGCAGAAATTGTGAATATTTTGTATTTTGTTTTATGGATCCCACCATTGTTGTTTGGACAAATTTGATTTAAATTAGCAGTTTTCATTCCTTAATTTAAATACATACATCTGATATGGATACTTGCCCCTGAAATCTAATGAGGTTAATGTTTTACTCCTAAATATCATATATCCGTATGTGTGTGTGTGGATAAAGTATAAATATTAGGATCATTTTTGAAGACATGGAAAAAGCCAATTAAAATCCATAATTCTATGAGTTTAGTTTATGACTTTTAGAAAAATATAAAAAAAATTTAAGTGTTTGCTATTTGAAATTGTACTAATTAAAGTGCAGTTCTCCTTGCTGATATTTAACCAAAAAAAAATCTTGTAAGGGCATTATAAAAACCTTAATTATTTATTGGCAGATATAATAGATTTACTTTAATTAATGTAAATCACTTATAGAGAGAAAATGTCCATACAACATAGACAGACTTAAATTAGAACTAAGCAACATGACCGAGGCTACCATGTAATAAATTTGGCATGTAATTAAAAAGAAGCCATTTTTCTTGTGTCGATTACTGCAGGAATTCAGACATAAAACATACCATACGTTAACTTACAGAATATGAATGCATTACAGCCAGAGCAACCATAACTGTTTCTTTTGATCTATCTGCACAAAAATCACAAAAAGCAATTTCCTTCTAAACAGTCTCTAAACCAGAGAAGCTGGCACAGGAAAATCCTAAGCAGCAATCTGCAGTTTTTCCATATCACTCTAACCTTCCTGAGCAGATAGAGGAGGAGGTTGCCCAAAAAGGGATGGAGAAGATAAAAGATAGATCAAGTTGACAGATGAATGAGACAATAGATGGAGAAGATGAGGTCAGGTTTAGACTAAATGAGAAGATGTGATAATAGATGAAAAGTCTGAAGAGGACATAGAACATGAAACAGGTGTATTTACCTGTTGGTCCAATGTGTTTGAGGGGCTTGGTCTTTATTTGGGGCCTGCAGGCCAGGATTGTGTGAGTGTGCATGAGAGTGTGTGTTGGCGGAAGGATTGGAGGAGCCTGAGGAGCCCTGGGAGGGGGAGTAGTCAGAGTAGGTGGCTGAGGAACCACTGTGGTTCAGACAGTGGAGTTTATCCACCTCCTCATCTGTTGACTCTGAATGGAGACAGACACAAAGAAAATAACTTCTCTTCAAAATATTAAAAAAACTAAATAATACTGCTGTTGATAAAATAAATAGTTTTATGCTGCTAAACTTGAACAAACTAAAATGTTGAACCCGTACAATTATAATTTGAAAAATGTCCTTCTTGAGGATGTGAGCTCAGATTTTATGATCTTTTTTTAACACACTGAACAGTCAATAAATCAGGCACCATCCTTCCTGCATACATAACAGGTTTAGACATTATATAAAAGTGTGGATAAAATGCCACATCAAAATAAATTCTTAATTTTTTTTTTAACTCGCAGATATGCATTTTAAAATTTACTCTGAAATAATTTATAATTTCTGTATGGTGATGTGTGTGTGTTTGTGTGAGTGTGATGCATAAGTTGCAACATGTCCTGTTGGGATCCAAGGGTTGCCCTCCAGAGGGCGGTGTGGATCCCATTCTGTAGCTTCTGTTTCTGTTTGTATCCCTTCTTCTGGGCTTCTGTTTCTGTTGGGATCCAGAGGTTTGCCCACCAGAGGGCGCCATGGATCCTCTCCTGGGAGCTGGTTCTCAGCGCACAGCTGTTTCCCATCAGCTCTGCTCATTAACCTCTCCCCATATAAGCTGTGTGACAGCTTCACTCGTAGCCGGATCGTAGCCTGTGTTACCCACAGCCATGTGTTAGCCGTTGTTTCCAAGTCTAGCCATGGGTTCCCTAGTCTTTGTTCCTTGCCATGTTTACCACGTTTTGCCACGCCTTGCCATGTCCGTTACCTGTGCTACTCTGCCTGCCTGAACCAGCAAACCAGTGAGTTTCAGTTTGTTAATCTATCCCTGAGTTTAACCTGTACTCTGTCTCCCCTGCCTTCCAGGGCAGAACCCTGTGCTCATCCAAATAAACATTGGACTTTAATCCTGCCTCTGTGTCTGTGGAGTTCTGCATCCTTGGGCTAGCAAACCAACCACGTATCATGACAGAACGATCCGGCCAACAGACTAGCCCAGCAGACTCCCAGCACGCTCACCTGGTGAGGCCCGCTCAGCGCCGTCCACTGCCTCCCAAGTGGGAGGCGCTGCTACGACACTACTACGAGTTAGCGGCCTCCCTAGCCCCTGAGCCCGCTTCCTGCCTTCCTGAGACCCCTGAGCAGAACTTAAGGAAGCGGATGCACCGGAGTTTTGGGAATTATCTACGAGAGGTGGAGATGGAGCTGTGCCGAGTAGATGAGGAGTGGAATCGTCTTGTGCAGGAGATCTGGAGGCGTCTAGGGATCCCTGCTCCTGATTCGAAGCCGCAATGGGCGGCCTCCTCAGTCCCTGATTCGGAACCGCGACCGGCCGCCACCTGTCTACCTGTGGAGCCACAATCGATGGTCTCCCCAGCTTCTGGGGTGGAGCCGCAGTCGGCGGTTTACTCCGAGCCTCCTCCTGTGGAACCACAGTCAGTGGTTTCCCCAGCTCCTGATCCGGAGCCGCAATGGGCGGCATCCTCTGTTCCTGACCGGGAGCCGCAACCAGCGGGCTCCCCTGTTCCTGATGTGAAGCCGCAATGGGCGGCCTCTTCTGTTCCTGACCGGGAGCCGCAACTAGCGGGCTCCCCTGTTCCTGAAGTGAAGCCGCAATGGGCGGCCTCTTCTGTTCCTGATCCGGAGCCGCAATCTGCAGCCACCTCTGTTCCTGTGGAGCCGCGATCGGTGGTCTCCCCTGCTCCTGGGGTGGAGCTGCAGTCGGCGGCTTCCTCTGAGCCTCCCCCTGAGCTACTGTCGATGGCTTCCTCTGAGCCTCCTCCTGAGCTACAGCCGACGGCTTCCTCTGAGCCTCCTCCTGAGCTACAGCCGACGGCTTCCCCTGAGCCTCCTCCTGGGCTGCAGTCGACGCTTTCCTCCGAGCCTTCCCCTGAGCCACAGTCGTCGGTTGCTGCCGAGCCTGTTGCTGTGTCGCTGAAGCTGAGACGGCGTCCTCCTCGACGCTCCCCGCAGCAGCTGAGTCGGCGTTCACCTCGACGCTCCCCGCAGCAGCTGAGACGGCGTCCTCCTCGGAGCTTCCTGCAGCAGCATAGACGGCGTCCTCCTCGGAGCTTCCTGCAGCAGCATAGACGGCGTCTTCCTCGGTGCTTCCTGCAGAAGCAGAGACGGCGTCCTCCTCGGAGCTTCCTGCAGCAGCATAGACGGCGTCCTCCTCGGAGCTTCCTGCAGCAGCATAGACGGCGTCCTCCTCGGAGCTTCCTGCAGCAGCAGAAACGGCGTCCTCCTCGGAGCTTCCTGCAGCAGCTGAGATGGCTTCTTCCTCGGTGCTTCCTGCTGAAGCAGAAACGGTGTCCTCCTCCAAGGCCCCTGCAGCTTCTGAGACGCCGGCCACCTGAGACTCTGTCCTGCTGCCGGTCACACGGCCGGCCACCTGAGACTCTGTCCTGCTGCCGGTCACACGGCCGGCCACCTGAGACTCTGTCCTGCTGCCGGTCACACGGCCGCCCACCTGAGACTCTGTCCTGCTGCCGGTCACACGGCCGGCCACCTGAGACTCTGTCCTGCTGCCGGTCACACGGCCGGCCACCTGAGATTCTGCCTTGTCCTGCTGCCGGTCACACGGCCGGCCACCCGAGACTCAATCCTGCTGCCGGCCCCACGGCAGGCCACCTGAGATTTAGCCCTGCTACCGGCCCCTCGGCCGGTCACCTGAGACTTTCTCTGTCCTCGCCCACCCTAGGTGGGTTGTTTTGAGTTCTGGTTCCTGATCTGTTTTTTGTGCCTGGCCCCCCGTGCCTGTTTCCCCCTCTGTTCGCCCTAGGTGGGTTGTTTTGGTTTCTGGTTTTTTGTTTTTGGGCGTCTGGTATCCGCCCTTGAGGGGGGGGTACTGTTGGGATCCAAGGGTTGCCCTCCAGAGGGCGGTGTGGATCCCATTCTGTAGCTTCTGTTTCTGTTTGTATCCCTTCTTCTGGGCTTCTGTTTCTGTTGGGATCCAGAGGTTTGCCCACCAGAGGGCGCCATGGATCCTCTCCTGGGAGCTGGTTCTCAGCGCACAGCTGTTTCCCATCAGCTCTGCTCATTAACCTCTCCCCATATAAGCTGTGTGACAGCTTCACTCGTAGCCGGATCGTAGCCTGTGTTACCCACAGCCATGTGTTAGCCGTTGTTTCCAAGCCTAGCCATGGGTTCCCTAGTCTTTGTTCCTTGCCATGTTTACCACGTTTTGCCACGCCTTGCCATGTCCGTTACCTGTGCTACTCTGCCTGCCTGAACCAGCAAACCAGTGAGTTTCAGTTTGTTAATCTATCCCTGAGTTTAACCTGTACTCTGTCTCCCCTGCCTTCCAGGGCAGAACCCTGTGCTCATCCAAATAAACATTGGACTTTAATCCTGCCTCTGTGTCTGTGGAGTTCTGCATCCTTGGGCTAGCAAACCAACCACGTATCATGACATGTCCATCCAACATATAACTTGAATGTTTGGCCTATGATGTAACACTGGTGTTTCTGGTAAATGAGATGTTTTGTTTTTTCAATGTATTACTAAAATGGAAAAAACAATTTGAGAAATTTGTATTTGCATTATTTTGTTAAATGTCATCCATATCAAACTAGCTTCCCTATTAGGAATACTAAGGAAAGTACACAAGGTGTTTGGGTTTTTTTCTTTTTCATTGTGTTGTCCTTAGTGCTGACTACATGAAATGACTATATTATTTGATGAAACTACAAACTGTCATGGGGAAAAGACATAACTTTCTTTTAGAAGCTTCCATTGAATGATTAAATGCGTATTGGTTATAGGAATTTTTTTTACCTTAATTCCCTGCAATTAAATACAGTAAATACCTTCAGATATGCCTAATTAAAAAAAGAAAAAAACTACCAGACAGACACGAACATCTACTCTGCAGGTTCACTGCATCTCTTGCTGTCTCTCTCTATGATAGGTTAAAGTGAATCTGTCTCAGAATATGACTAATTAATGAATAACCTTTGCTTCATGCCTCACAGCTCTGAAGTATAAGGGAACATTAAAATATAATTTACAGCTTTGTGATTACATTGCAGCTAATATTTCTAAAATGATACAGTACCTTTTTTATCCTTCCCCAGCAGTACCACCTTTGGTTTGTACATTGGTGGCTCCACCAGAGTTGGCCTCATGTCTGAGATACGGATATCGTTCGGAGAACCACCCATTGAGTCCTAAAACACAATAAAAAAACAATTTAGCTTTGTTATATATCTACAGCACCCTCCACATTTATTGGCTTGAGTCTTAACACATGTAAAAATTAATAATAATTAAAGGAATCTTTTATTGTTGAAGCATATCTCAGTTTGAAAGATTTAGAATAATATCACCTCTACACTTAGTAACTGTGCTGTTTATTTTTGCAAACCCCATATGCCAACAGGACAGAGCTTAATCTGGTCCAACTGCACAACATTTTACAAAGTTAGAGCACAGTGCAACCTAGTGTAAAAAAGACAAACTGATCTGCATTTATTGGCGAGGGAAATATGATGTCATTGATTCTACATTAAAGGTCGCAGATACAAGAAATGTAAAGCATGAGGAAAGGAACTTGCTTGTTTACCATATACCAGTGTTTTTGCCAATAATAATTAACATACATTAAGAAATGCCCAGATATTTATGTTTTTGATGTAATAAATGGAGCAGAGTATTACAAGAACACTGAAAAAATTCAAATTTTTTTTCTAAGGGATGTAAATGAAAAAAATATATCTGAACTAAGGTTTTCTCTCCTTAGAAATTAATTTTATTAAAGATATTATTTATTTCTAAAATAACAGCATAATTCCTGCATTCCAACAAACAGAAGCAAACACTTGTTTGTTTTTGCTCTGTTCTTGTTATGTGTGAATAGCTGTACCTCAGAGCTCTCTGTCAAGTCCTCTTTGTCCTTCCTCTTGGGAATGTCAATGCCAGAGTTATGCATTGATCCTTGATCCATTAACTGAGACTGAGAGAAGTCCTGCATCTCTCTGTCAGTCACCTGGCAAACAGTTTCATTTCGTCCATCAAATGAATCAAATACCTGCATCAACTGAGCAGAGTAAATGATTAAGACACCAAACTGCCAAGTGTATGTTAATGCTCATCAAAACCATGAATTGTGGTGTTCCAAAACTTCCAGCACTTACACTGATGAGTTAAAGCTTTAAAGCGTGACCAGATTGTATATTTTTTTACCTGGTAAATAAGCATAATATCCCATGACTTTTACATTATTATCATTTAGTGTGAAGATATTTAAGTACATTTGCCAATTGTATCATTGAGAGGACTGCGTTTAGATTGGGAACTTTCAGAAGCACATGATTCGTCTCCAGGTCTGGCTTAAGTTTCATGGTAAAACTCATCTATTTTTTTTCTAAAACCAATAGAGAATTTTGGCTGCGACATCAAATGATGAGGTAATTTCTACTGCTTTCTGCACTCATCCCATTTGAAAAGGCTGGTGCTGTTCTCACCTCTTTAGGAGGCAGGGGCCATGGTGGCTCATATGATTCTTTGCTGAGGTGTGTATGTTCCATGTTGGTTCCTGCTGAGGTGGCGCTGCCTGAGCTCAGCTGATGCTGGTGCCCATGTCCAGGGTGCATGCCTTTACCCACAAGACTCTGCACTGATTTGACCATGTTTTTCAGATCTTCGGGGTATGGGGTTGGGTAGCGCTTTAAGTTTATTTCCACCTACAATAAAGCATAGAAAAGATTTTTACTAATTTATTTCAGCAAATTCAGTGTCATCATCATATTTGAATTATGTTATTGTTACAGTTATTATTAAACAGGAATGATAAATAAGTATTATAAAAGATTTGCATTGAAAGATGTTAGCATCAGCTATTCTAGGAAGGGGATGAGAGAAACAGAAATCCAAAAAGCTGACCTTGACCTTCCCAGAGTTGTCTTCCTCTTCTTTTTTGTCCTCAAAGTCAAAGGCAACGGTCATTCTCTGCTGTCTTTGTTCTTCCCACAGTGTTGGATTAAAGCTGTCACTATCTGACTGATAATCTGTATACACACACAAAGACAGCAGCTTTTAATGATTAGGAGGAGCCACACTTACAACACAAAATTAACAGATAACCCCAGCCTTAATGTTGCTTTCAATCTCACATTGTGCAGCAAATGGTGAAGAAAAAGGTATGTTTATTCTTACAGTTCTTTTGTGCAGACAGATTTATTTTGTTTATGTATTTCTTTATTACAAGGACAGTGTCTATTGATAACATTTTGGTCAATATTTCAAATTCTCTTTCAAAATACTTAAGAATTCAAAAGTGCATGCATTTAAAAGTAGTGAATATTTGACTTTGAAATGTAATAGAATGAAAGTATAAGTCCATCTGGTCTGTTCCTGGAGAGAAATATTAACTGTGCTGCTGCCATCACCACTATTTTTTATTGATGTTGGAGCTTGGCCTGTTTTTTAAGTGTAGTCCTGTTTCTCTGACTGTGACTAACTGATGTCCTCTCTTCATCCTCTTACATGGGAGCTGGATTGGAGCTTGTCTGCCTGGCTATGTGTTTCCTGGACCACCTGTGGAGCTGGTTAACAGTTGCCTTTTGTATCTTTGCTTCTTTCTGTATGTCTGCTTCTGTCTCCTTGAACCCCAGTCACCCTCAGAAAATTGCCGCTCACACTGGGTCTGGTTCTGCTGGAGATTTCTTTGTGTTAAAAGGGAGTTTTTCCTCTCCATTGATGCTACAAGCATTCTTGGAGTGAGGGATTGCTGTTGAGTCAATGAGTCGATGCAATCAGCTGTTTTTTCTTAGATAAATAACAATATTCCTCAATTTAAGATATAGGATAAAAGAACCAATACGACTGTATGATCTGGTTGAATTGTCTCTGTAAAGTGCCTTGAGAGGACATGTAGATGATGACATGTTGTAAATTGGCACTATATAAATAAACTGTTTTGAATTGAATTGAATTGAAATACCTAAGAATGGGCATATTGGAAAATAATTAATCATTTTGATATTACTAGTGTTGAGAACCAAACTCAGGTCAGGAGGAGACCAGCCCTGCTGCAGTACATAAGGTGGGCCTTATCCCCAATCATTTAAAATGCTTTCGAAACACATCTTTCCTCAAGATTTTTGTACTTGTAAGGTTATGGTCTTAAGTTAATGATTCATTTTTTAATGTTAGTGCAATGTTTTCACATGTTCTTAATGTGTTTTTTTTTTTTGTTCTTACTGTACAGTATTTTAGCCCCTTTGTTTGTTTTAAGGGGTTCACAAAAAAGGTTGGTTTAAATAATAATAATAATGATAATAATTTCCCAAGCACAATTTTGTGGAAGAGATGTAACTTTCCCAAACAATTATTATGATTTCAGTTTTACTTGGTGTAGTTTCAGATATTTTTTCGCTCTTCTTTCACTATTTGTCAAGCAATGTAAAAATGACAGTTTGTGGACATTTGTGGGCTTAAATCAGCATTAATGCTAAACATGAGCAAATATGCAGTAAGTCATTTATCATATGATATACATAAACATAGCCACACTGCTATTTTGGAAAAAATGAAGAAAAATACTGTAACAAATACATTTTCCAGAGCTGAATCTCGATAAACTCCAATTGGTAGGTCTGACAATGTTTTATAAGCCCACTAAAGCCCTTAGTAGATATTAAAAAACAACTCAGGACCGATCAAGACATTTCAACCAAATAACCTCAACCTAGGATTTTATGCTGTATTTCCAAGAAACTGTTTAAGTTGAAAATGTCCTCAGCACCAAAAGATAAAAAAAATCCTGACTACTTTGTTAAAAAAATACTTTTTGCGAGTTTTCGTAAATTATGTCAGAAAGCATTGAAACTTCATGTGGCACCATAAAGACATCTTTTTTTCATACCTTCATCATGTCTGGGCTGTTGTGGAAACATGTAGTTGGTCAAAACCTTCTGTTTGGTTTCTGGATGAGCTTCTGTCTGCAGTGGGATCAAAGCTTTGGACTGCAAAATACAGATACAAACTTTTAAACTTTCATTCTGCATGCAATTTTTAATAAATACGGAACCAGTCACATCCCATTCATGCTAATGTGATGTGACTGCCAAATTTACAAAAATAAAAGAGGGCAATAAAAACAACATCTAATTTTTTAACACTAACCAGTAATCTCTTAATGAAACTTGAATGTTGATAAACAGATTGCAGCATTGGTAGCCCCTTGACTAAAACCTATTTGCTCCTTAAACCTCTAGAGCCCACCAGTGGGCGATGGCGGCAAGAGGGTTAATAATTAAATCTCAATATGTATTTTCTGTACCTTATGAATACATACTTTAGGTAGCCATTTTAAATGAATATGTAATAAAGAAAACATTTTTTTAAAATGCTTCTGGTTTTAGTAGGTAATATATATTCACTATTTGCTTGCTTTGATCAACCTAAAACATTATTCTTATTATCCATAGAATTAATAATCTCTGGATTTAGTCATGTACAAAAATACATATGTATTGTTTATCCTCAATGCATCTTTTCCTCAAGCAAATGTGTCAAAAGTAAATGCTGCTTTTCAAAATAAAAGCCTGTAATGGAAAACCCTTTGGAAGTATTCTGTAAATCCGCTTGTAAACCAGACCTGGTATATGATTATCATAACGATGGCTAGAAGTGTTGTTACGCATATCACTTAGCAGGTGTTCTCTCCTGCAGACCAGCAGGAAAATGGACAGATACCTGATTGTCAGAGAGCCACAGAGCTGCCAAGTCCTTCAGCTTGGTGAAGGTAAACGGTAGATTCTTCAACCTTGGAGGAAGACAGAAATATTATGAAGGGGGGTGGGAAAGAATAGAGATGTTTCATGTTCCCACTCACTGTACAGCCTGCAGAGCATGCTACCATGGCAACACACTCTGATTTCCATGGTTACCATAAGCCTTATTGCAGTAAGAAGAAAAGCGGCCAAGCTGCCATTGAGAAATTATTGCCTGATTGTAAAAATGTTGCCACCTGGAATCGTAGCCCAGAGCACCAGCATGCTCGTGTCTTTACCTGTTGTCGCTGAGGTTAAGAACACGTAGTTTGGTCATCTGCCCTATTTCATCAGGCAGAAACTCCAGCTTGTTGGACCGAAGTGACATCACCGTCACATTCTTGCAGTTACCAATCTAAAACAGGAACACACACACACACAGACTCAAGCCATCAAAATAAGTTACAGTCCCTCGCAAAAGCGTATACTCTGGAATAGTGTTACATTATTTTTTAATAACAAATGTTCAAGTGTTAGAGGCACACAATATACAACAGAACTGTGAAGTAGGAGAATAATGATAGATCATTTTTAAAATTGTTTGGCAGAAACTAATAAAAAACAAAAACAAAGTACAGCATGCATTTGTGTTCAGGCTGCTACACTCAGATAAGCCCAAGCACGATCCTGTTGGGAGCTGGAGAAGTTCCACCTTTCTCCAGCAGAGTCCGCCGTGGATCCTTCTGAGTGAGCCTCCTGCACAGCTGCAGCCCATCAAGATCATCAGAGGATCCACTATATAAGCTGTCTTCAGACCTTGCCTCAACGCCGCAGTGTTGATCCAGTTGGTCAGCACCTAAGCCTAGACTCTCAGTGTATCTTTTGACTTTGAATCCAGCCAGGATTCTAACCGTTGTCTCTATCTTCCAGGAAACCAGTGTCTCCTCTGTGAAGCTCTGGAAGAGCTAACCTGCCGAGCCGACCCTCAGAGCCAAACCCGAAGAACCATAGAGAACTTCCATGCAGCTCTGGATTAAGAGCTGGAAAACCCAAAGCCAAGGTCTGTTCATTAGTAGACGTGAGACGCTGAAGCAGCAAGCGGACTCTGCTGATCAACTCCTCTCCAGATCCAACAGTGACTCTCCCAAAGCTAACCTCAAGAACCCTGAAGGTACAATCAGTTATAATCAAGAAATCAAGCTCCAACGTGCAACGCTAACTGAACTGTCTCTCACGCAGACTCCGGTGAACCAGTGTCCAGGCCCGAGCCAGAACCAGTACATTCTGTGTGCTTGTGTCAAAATAAACTTGTTGAACTTTTATTCCTGTGTCCGTCAGTGGTGTTCTGCATAATTGGGTCACTTTTAGAGTACCCATCATGACAGATCCAGTGCAAACAAACTGCCTTCAGAATTCACCTTTTTTGTAATAAGTCAATGAGGAGCTCAACAGTGTGTTGGTGAATATTAAAAAGACCCATTAAGAAGTTGGGGAGAATTTTAAAGGACTGGTTTATAGAAAATCCAAAAAATGTATCTAGAAAATGAAATAAGATTAAAGTGCACAACTGCCTCATTACTAAGCCACAGCCATCCAGACAAAACTGAGCCATAATCAAATAAGCTCAGCTTAACTTTAAAGAAGCATCAGAGAGAGAGTTCAGGTGTGCAAATTGGTGAGCTGGGCAAACATTTTTGAAACAAACCTGACCTTTATGGAGAAGAGGCAAGAAGAAAGATGTTGTTGAAACCAAGCCAGAAAAAAAAGTAATATATTTGCTACAAACCAAGTAAGGGACACATAAAAAATGTATCCGCAGTGCTTGGGTCAAATGAGACTAAAACTATATTTAAGCCCAACATCCAAAATGCTCTGCATAACAGAGAAGTAATGTTGCACATTACCCTCACGCAGCAGCAAACCTTTTAAGAAGTGACATGAAGGCCAATAAGAGACGAGAAAATGGAGCAAAATGTAGGGCAATCGAGTAAGAAAATAAGCAAAAAGGCAAGAAAGGACAGATGTTTACCCTCCAGTTAGACAATAACACTAAACATTCTGAACTACAATCAAAATGTTTACATCAAGTAACTCAAATGTCAGTCCCTAAGGTCCAGTATGACTACAACTTTTAGATTAATCCAAGGTCAAGCCCACTTAAAATAGCTCTGAGACAAAAATACCTCTTCACCATACAATCAAGTTCTACACTCTGCTAATAACCCAATAAAGCCATGCTTTACAAACTCCCAAGTTTTTATGTCTCTTGTGAAGAAGAAAAACAAAACTCTGGAGTTTGTGAACCATGGCTTATAACAAACACATATCTTCTTGAAACATGGCTCAGTCAAAGTATAAACCTTAATCCAATCAAGAATCTGTGTAAGACTTGAGCAAAGTAATTCACAGATACTCTCAATTCACCATGACTGCGCCTGAGCTCTTTTGGAAAAGAGGGAGGTCAAATTATCCAGCCTCTTGATATGAAACACACCAGCTCACATCAAAATTCCTGCAGCTGAAAAGGGTTTCTACATATTATTGAATCAAGCTAGCCTAATTCAAATGCATGCAACACCTGTCTGAAATGTATCATTTAAACAAAATTACAACACAGCAAGCATAATAAACCAGGTTACTTTTTATTATATAAAATATTGATATAAGACATGACAGAGCAAAGACTAAAAAAGTAAAGCTAATTACTGGCTTCAGGCTGGTTAACAGAATGATACCTTAACAGAGGGACAATTTTTTTGGGAGGACTCAATGATTACAGTATTTGTGGTGAAATTAAAATCTTTCTGAAGATTAAAAAAAAAAAAATTACAGTAACATCTGATTTGAAAACTGTATTGTTTAAGGTTTGTTTGGTATCAGTGTCAGAGCTGAAATCAATAAGCTTACCTCCCGTGGCAGCTCTATGAGGAAGTTTTCATCTGCAGCAAAAGTTCTCAAGCTGTGCAGGTAGCCAACAGTGGGAGGTAACGACTCCAGCTCATTACAGCTACAGTCCAACTCCTCCAAAAGAGACAGGCTAAATGAAGAGAAGAGAGGACATGAAAAGAAAAGAAGAGGAGTCATTCTGACGGCTGTAACATGTCTGTAGCTATTCTAAACAATATTCTTTCTCTGGAAAGAGATCGATTCCATGGAAAGACTGAAACCAGAGATAAATAACATTTAACCTGTAGTATGTTACCTTTTTTTTATTAGAACAAAAATAGAATTTATAGAAAAAAGATTCCACCAATAGGCTACGCCCAGTTGTAATTGCAAAGAACATGTGTAAAAATTAACAGAGAGAAAATATAAATAAAATATTAACTAAAAATAATGACAATTGCGTAATTTTGGATGATAACTACAATTTTTGGCTACAATTTATTCTCCACTGTTAAAATAAACTTATGATGTTTCAGTCTTTGCATGGAAATTTCTTAATATTATTATAATAACATCAGCTACACTGAGGACTAAAAGGTAAATGATTCAGGTATAATCTCTCTATCTCTCTCTCTATCTCTCTCTCTCTCTCTCTCTCTCTCTCTATATATATATATATATATATATATATATATATATTTTAGACATACAGTAGATCTCAGCTTCTTGTAGCATCTAGTTCAACCCCTCTATAGCACACTGGACTGCCCTTTACATGTCTTCAGTGGTCTGACACCAAAGTAACAGCATGCTAATGCTAATGAGAAAACATTTTTACATTCACTGTTAACATTATATTAGTCTGCCTTATTATTCCCAACAGATGGGGCCATCTGGACTACCATACTGTCTAAAATGGGAGCAGATGAGAAGGGAGAAAGAAAAAGGAGAGGTGTAGGGAAAGGTTATCTTATTTTGAATAACATTTGTGTTTACTGCTATGGTTCAGGTTATCACCTTCAGATAAAGAAACTAGATTCAAATACAGTTTTTTTCACTTTCCAATGAAGTTTCGCCATTGTGTGTATAGTGTAGTCATTCTGGTTGGAAGTAATCATTAAGATCCATCCAGTTTTATATCCAGTAAAAACTAGCAGAAAATGATACCCCAGTTCAATATAACTAAGAAACTACTTAAAAAAAAAAAAAAAAAAGTTAGAGTTCCTATTGGCTGGCTACTATGAGCCAAACTTTTACTTTAAGGTTCATCATCTACGTAAAAATTTAACCAAACATTTCACAGCCCCATAATCACCAAAATATCATGTTTAAAACTGTTTTGACCCCCCCACCCCTACCCAACAAGCTGTTACCTTTGATAAAAAAAACTAAATTTTAATTTAAAGGTAGTGTGAGGTTATGACTAATATATATTATATTATAAAATAAAAATTAAATTTAAAGTCTTGTTATAAAAATTTAATATTCAACAATGGATGTGAAACAGTAAAAGAGCTTTAAGGGGAAGTCATTAATCTACAGAACTACGTATCAAGACCAAATCCTGGGACTTGTTCATGAAGACAGAGAGCTTTCAGGGTGTTCAGATACAGATCTTGCAAATATGTTAATCTTATAAGCAAAATAGGATTATATGGAATATCTAAAGTCAGCCAGAAAGAAACAAAGAAACAAAAGTTTAAAGATGATTCTTTTCACAAATTATATAAGTCTTACATAAAATCTAAATAAAATATGAAGAACAGTAGACAACACCAAAATTATATTTAACAAATGTTTCAGGTTAATTAATCAACATATCTACCTTTTTAAAGCAGACAATATATTTAATGTTGCACATCCTATGCATTGATGTAAGCAAGACTACAGTCATACCACTGCAGTAACATTACATGCAATCATTTTATTCTCCGTGGGTTTTCCTATTGATGTTTTTGAAGAATAAAAATCATATCTAAAGATTAAATCAAGCTCTGAATACAGTAAAATAACTTTGTTGAATGTTTGCATGTAATCTTTATGGATATGAAATGTTCCCCACATTGACAGCATGTGGTAGCAAGCTTTTATTTTCTGTATCTGCAGCACGGCTGAACATCTATCTCTGAACAAGCCCTAAAATCCAGAAGGCTCATGTTACTCACCCTTGCTTTGGCTTCGGACTAACGCCATGGCACCGCAGGAAACATAACACACAGACCCCCCCAACCAAAAATCAGCCATTACAATACAGTGATAAACAACATAAACGACCCACCTAAAACCCCTATATCTGCAATCCATTATAAACTGCCAAGATGAATTGGCTGAAAGAAGTTTTTAAATAAAACAAAACAATGATTACAAAATCCAATATCTGCAGCTAAAGTGTTCATAATCCATAGCCTTTGTCACATTTTGGACACCTTAACCAGAAGAATCAGAGTTTGTTATCAGGATTTAGGTGATAGATCAACACAAAGTAAGACAAATGTAAAGGATGCATAGTTTATTTAAAAGCTATAATTTAGAAAACTTTGTGTTCATATGGTGGTATATTTAGTGTCTTTTAATCTGACTCCATAAAATAAAAAGTAACTGATTGAATCAATGAAGCCCAAAGGGTATGTTCTAAGCTCTGTGCAGAATATTTGTGAACAGACACAACACTTAAAACCAAGGCAAACAGCAGACAGCAGAAGTATAAAGGTACAACATGGTAAAGTCATAAAACAGTATTCTAAGCTTTTAACACATCTTAAAGCCCATTTCAGTTAGTGTATTTAAACTGGTGTTAAAAAAAAGTGTGCCCTCCTCAATCGTCAAAAATGATCGAAAATTCTTTCTTGTCATAATAGCAATGAAATTATAGTCTGTAGCACCATTAAAACCATTCTTATATCATATAGAGGATGGTCACCTATCTATCATTTATCCGTTGTCTGGGGACTGGTGCTTATCATCAGCAGTTTATGGGTGAAAGCCAGGCTACATCCAGGACAGACCAGCAGTACTTTGCAGGACAATACTGAGACACACAACCATGCATGCATATGCACTCACACCTTAGAGACATCAGTTAAAAAAAATAATCATGTTTTTGGACTGTGAGAGGAAGCTGGAATAACCAGAGAGAACCCACACATGCACGGGAGGAACATTCAGACTTCATGCAGAAAGATCTTTGGTCAGAAATTGAACCTAGGAAATTCCTGCAACAGTACTACACACTGTAGGTCTGAAGGACCCGTTCTACCTGGACTGGCTCCTTCGAAGGCTGTGAAAATAAAGACGCCAGAAGAGCTCGGCTATCGATTCGAACAGGTCTAGACCTATCTGGAGTATCACCACTTTTGGCATGAACTGTCTATAAAACCTAGATATTAGGTAGTAGAATCTACTTAAGGGTCTGCAACCCTGGTACTCAGATCTACTGCCCTGCAGACTTTAAATGCATCCTTGCTCTAACACAGCTAATTCAAATGACGGAATTACATCTTCAGGTTGCAATGAAGTTTGGCAAGGGGCTGGCAACAAGCCATTCACTCGATTCATGTAAAAATGAAAATGATACCTGAGTTAAATATAATTAAGAAACTAGTCAAGGATACATCTAAAACTTGCAGGACAGTAGATCTTGAGGATCAGGACTGGAGACCCCTACGTCTACTTTGTGCTGTTCTTTCACTTAACATATAACTAAAAGAAAGTCAAATGTTTGGTTTTAAAATGTGAAAAAAGTTCAATGGGGTATAAACACTATTGCAAGCCCATTTATCTGACCTGACATTTGTTAAAGGGTTAGATTTCTTTGAAGAATCTGTGTTGGATTCTCACCTCCCAATAGTGTGAGGCAGTGCGGTCAGCTGGTTGTCATCTACCTTTAGAGTGGTCAGCTTCTTCAGCATTCCTGCAACACATGCAGACACACAGGTACAAATTCCCACATGGGTAATACAAACACTTAACTTTCACTCTCTGTTTTTAGCAAGATCATTCATAATTATCATTCAGCATCAACACAGTTCAATATAAACTAAGGGACATATTAAGGAGATGGTCATATGCAGATTCGTAGCCGATTGGCAGAAACTTATAGAAGATCAATACTACCCTTTATGTACCCTTGAAAGCTGCAGCCATTATCAGGATAGTTTGTTTCAACTTGAAAGTAGGACTAAGCATAAAAAAAATTACATTGGGAACATTATTTTTTCTTATATGTTCACAATGTGAGACTAACTGTCTGTTTAAGGTTTCTGAAAAAATGTACATAGCTGCTTGGTTAATTGTTATATTTATATTGGTCTTAAGTAAGTGCGATCATTGAGTTTCTTTTTTTATTATTATTTCATGTGTTAAATTTGTATCTCACTGTGTGTATATATCAGTCCTTGTGAATAAAACCCAAGCTGGTTATGTAGGTATGTACCTATAGAGTCTGGCAGATGCTGCAGCATATTGGAGGATAGCAGTAGATCTTCTAAGGCCTCACAGCCAGAGATGTCACTGTCCAAAGACTCAATGCGATTTTTGGCCAAATCTAAGTACCGCAACTGACGAAGCTTCCCTATTGACTGCAGAAAGACAGATGAAGAAGTAAAAGTTGGCAACAATGCGTTACTTTATACTTGTTTGTTCCTGCCTAAGGTGAAAGTCCACTTACCCCAGGTATAGACTGTAGAGAGTTGTTATCCAGCCACAGCTCCTTAAGGCTGTGTATCTGTTCCAGCACCTCTGGCTATGAAGCAAAAAGATTTAATATGCTTTAATGTAAGTTATTATAAAATAAAAAATGAAAATAAAGGAGCACATGACATGTGAGTTCTTTTGACCATCCAAGGACAGAGCAAACAGAATCAGGCACAGAGCAACTGTATGTTTTTAATTATGATTTAATGAAAAAGAGTTTTTTGTAGGTCAAAAGCTAATTCTTTAGGATTACAGGTGTCCATATTTAATTCTATACATGACTTAACTATGAAATTGGAAATTACTTTTGGAAATTACTTTGTGGAAGAGAATAAACTCTAGGACTAATAACAGGTTTTCTTTTTCTGGGGGCGGAAATATCTGCTTTCTGATGCAAAGGAAACCATTCAGTCTGGTGCTATTGACTAAGAAATTTTTTTTTTGTTTATTTCTACTTTCATAGGTTTAATAAGTGCTAAATAATACAAAGTAAATACATACAGGCCAAGAGGTAGAGGAAAATCAGCAAGGATAGCCCTATTTAGCTTTCTGAAAATATTTTTTTTACAGCTTAAATGAAACTCCTAAAATATGATGTCTCTGTTTTCCCATACAAACTACTTTAAGTATGTAAATAACTTGTATAACTAGTGCACAGTACTGAAGGGATATTATTACATAGTGTTTTTTTAGCATGCCACTTTAGCACATAGTTAACAAACAACCCCAGAACATATACGATTACTAAAACATGATTTAATGTTGTCATTAAGCCATCCATCTTCTGTCCCACTTATCCCAAGTGGGGTCACAAGGGGTGCTGGTGCCTATCTCCAGCTGTCTACCGGGGCGAGAGGCGGGGTACACCCTGGACAGGTCGCTAGTCCATCGTAGGGCAACGCAACCATTCACACACAATCTCACACCTAAGGAGAATTTAGAAAAGCCAATTAACCTAACAGTCATGTTTTTGGACTGTGGGAGGAAGCCGGAGTACCCAGAGAGAACCCACGCATGCGCAGGGAGAGCATGCAAACTCCATGCAGAAAGAGATTGGCCGGGAATCAAACCCAGATGCTTTTGCTGAAAGGCAGCAGCGCTACCCTCTGCGCCACTAGGTAGACTAATGTCATGAGGCATAAAACTGCAAGCATATATCTCAGTTGCTGTTAATGCTTGTGGTAATATTTCCAGTACCTTGACCTAATTACAGACAGTGGAAGATTATTGGTGGTCTGACAGAACAGAGGTGGTTGGGTTGGAGAGAAAAGCTTCTACTCCCTGCTGCTTTTACATGGACTCGCTCAGTGAAAGGTCAGATGGAACCAGCCATAAGAATAACATTAGTTTTTTTTTTTTCATGGCTGATGATGTTAAAACTTATGTTGAAGACTCAGTATTTCAACATGCTATGCAGGCGCTGTCACTGTGCAAGCAATAACAACTACAACTGGAAATTCAAAAGCTTTATGGTGTTTCAGTATCCATGTTGTCAGACACATCAGAACCAGAACCTTGAAAATAAGAGGGATTAATGAGTTAAGAGATTGTAGAATCCATCTACAAAAATCTTTAAATGAAATAAGCTGTGAGGGAGAGTGTCTTTCAAAGCTGAAGAAAAAAGGTTATCCATGCTTTATTATAACAGGTCTACTTATCTGTTATTTGTCTCTTTTAAACATTGGACATAATAAATGCAGCAGAGTTGTACATGAACCATTAGAGCTTCACACTAGCCTGGACTCCCTGTGGTTTCCTTATTTGTATTTGTGAGCAAGTGTTTATAATAGTCCTTCTTTACTCTTACTAAGTCCTGCTTCTCCATTCTTTAGCCTTTTACTTTTATTATCATATCCAACCCACCACACAGTCCAATTCAATTAATCTATATTACCTATATTATTCTGAACATTTCTAGTAAAAGTGGTGAAAAGTAAGACATTAGACAAACTGATCTTACCATTTCAGAGAATTCATTGCTACCCAGATCCAGCCTCTCCAGCTGTGTCAGTCTGTGGATGGACCTGGAAAGACAGAAAATGGAAATGTTATCCATATTGAGTTTCACATGAACTAACATAAAAACAAGCAGGGTTATTATTTTTCTTAAGATAAGTTATTTTTTTCCAACATACAAATGTTCATATGGTACCCTGTCTTACTTTGGCATCGTTTTCAGGTGGTTCTCTCTCAGCTCCAGAATCCGTAGTTTGGAGAGCCTGAATAACAGAAGGAACATAAGCCTAAACCTAATTCCTTTTATTTGCACTCTGCCAGATGCAACAGTCTTCAATAGGATTAACAAAAAAAGAGTACACAAAAATAAATGAAGTGAAAAAGAAAAGTTAATCTCTAAAATCATTCTGTTAGATATCTTTTTGTTCTTTTCAACAAATATCCAGTAATTTTGATTTTTTTATAGGATCTTTTCATTACAGACTTCAATTACCAGCACCCACTCACACAGCTTTTAAATAGTCATATCAAATGACACTGCTCAACAGATAAGCTTTAGAATTAACCAAAAAGGCTTATTCCTTATATAAATCCTTCATGGTAAATGCATCTTCAAAAATATGTTAAACACTAAATAGAATATATGAATAGAGGTTATAGATTAAGAGTAAATGTTTGCGTTAATCCCGACCATCCAAAATAAAACACAACTAAAGATAAACACGTGTATCAATTCACCTGCCAAAGTTAGCGGGCAGATACTCCAGGAAGGCATCATTTAAGAAGAGCTGGGTCAGATTCAGGAGCTGCGTAAAACCATCTGGGAGTCTTAAAGAGAAATATTTAATGAAATAAAAAAATTTAAAATATTAAAAACACACATGAAACAAAAGACAGAAAACAATGCAAGGTGCAAAAGAGGAATAAGAAAAAGAGTTTCCTCCTGTGGGAGGAAACATGGCCAATTTCTGCATGGCTGCAGAAGCAACTAAACGCTGCTGGCCTGGAGATGACTCATCTGCAGCACAAGCGCAACACAGACACACAGGAAACATTTACCTCTGCAGCATTCTTTACTTCATCAACATCAGCAGGTAAGAAAATGGGAATTATAAATGCACACCTGAGACTTCAAAGATAAAAAAATGTGTTTTTTAAAAATATGTGGATCTGATGAGCAATCATAAAAAAGCCAATCAGGCATTAGCAAATTGGCTTAGTTATTGCATGTTTAGTGTTTGTAAACATACACAAACTCTCCTTCAGATAATAAGCAAGAATAAAAAGCTTACATACAGTATGTTATTAAATCAATTTGATTTTAAAATTATCTTACATATTTAAAGTGTCATAAAAAATATTTCAAACTGGGTTTTTTTTTCTACTTTTCTACTTGTATTTTGCTGTGCAGCTGAAGTGTGGGTGATGCAAGCAATCCAAATCATTCAAATCAATGTGTACATTCACATCAGCTGTGGTGCAGTGTACACCAAAGCAGTGCAGATCAACAAAGTGTTTCCCCAAAAACAGATTTTTGCCTGACGCAAATTGTCTTTGCATCAAGCTCCTGCATTCAGGGGAAAGGAGCCATCCGCTCTCTGTACAAGTGAGGCAGGAAATTGGTCTGCATTGCCAACATAAAGTCGGACCTGTTCCCGGTGCATGTTGGACTCCGGCAAGGCTGCCCTTTTTCACCAATCTTGATCATAGCTTTTATTAACAGGATTTCTTGGCACTGCCAAAGGCTAGAGGGGGTCTGATTTGGGAACCAGTGAATTTCGACCCTGATCTGGAGGCTCCCTCCTCTCAAAACCTACAGCATGCACGGGGGATGTTTACTGCCAGGTGCAAAGTGCACCAGAATCAGCTCCTCAAAATCCGAAACCATGGTTCTTGAATAAAAAGGTGGCTTGTATCCTTTAGGTTGGAGGACAGTTCCTGTCTCAAGCGGATAACTTTAAAGGGGTAGTGGAGGATTTTATTTTTCTGGTTGGATCATCAAAATAAGTATTCCTCCTACTGTAATTGTCAATCATTCTGGTGATATATTTACGTAAAGCCGTCCTAGGTATGTGCACGTCCCCAGTTAGCTATCTTCTTCTGTGCATTCGCACTTTCAGGCGTACATGTGTGATGAGCTACGGTTTCAGACAGTCATTGAAGCTCACGTTTCTCACCACGGTTCTTTGAAAACTGCAGAGGATTGTAATAGAAAAAGTGTCAATGAAGTGTATGAGAAGAAAATAAATGCCTTAGAAGAGGCAGATATATCCTGGAATGCTTTGCGTGGAGAGCTCTCCGAGCAAAGCATTATGGGATTTTCTGTCACAATGGGCCGTTGTTGCCATACAGTAGGCTGTGGCTAACCAACAGCGGTGACTAATGATAAAGATGGTGCAGGCACTGAGCGGTGGAGTTGGAGTTATGTGACCAACAGGGAGCAAAAAGTAGTGATCATCTGTCCAAATCGTCAGTTAACTGAGTTCACAATAAAGTCCACTATTTAGTCCCCACTCTATATAGTGATGAAGGGTTTTAGGGGTTAGGGCAGAAGTTCAAACACAGTAAGCTTGTATGAGCTATGAGAACAGCAACTTTCAAACCGAGCGTGGACGAGGAGAACGGCCTCTGGCATTCTCTCACACGTGTTTAATAAGCTTTCCCTCTCTGAAGCGATTAAGTGTTGTGCATGTGCATTCTTTTTAAAATGGAGAGGGCGGGTCTTTTAAAAAATTTGTGAAAATCCTCCACTGTATCTTTAAGTATCTTCTGATCCTGTTCATGAGTGAGGGGAGAATGGAGCAGGGATCAACTGATGAATCGATGTGGTAGATGCTGTAAAACTGCACCAGCCTGTTGAGCTGAAGAGAGAACTGAACGAGAAGATATTAATTTACCAGTCGGTCTACATCTACCAGTCGGTCTACCCTCACTGATGGTCATAAAATCTGGATTATGACAGAAAGAACCAGATCCTGGATACAAGTAGTTGAAATAAGCTTCATCCACAGGGCTCCTGTTCCTCCACATCGAGAGGAGTTAGATGAGGTGGCTTTGACATATTTTTCAGATGCCGCTCCTGGACATGTCCCTCAGAATGTGTTCCAGGCACGTCCCACCGGGAGAAAGTTTAGGGCATAAGCCAGGACATGCTGGAGGGACTGTCTCTTAGCTGAAAAGGGAGCACTTCTGGCTTCACTCAGCATTGCTGTAAGAGGTGTCTAGGGCGAAGGAAGTCTGGGAGTCTCTGCTGAGACTTCTGCACTGTGACCTGGTCCTGGATAATGCAGAAGGTACTGTGCAAGTACAAAAACAGAGGGGCTATTGGACGATGAGAAGGGATATCAATGTGCACCTCTAATAACTTTTGCTGTACAACTCCCCAAAACAGCATAAACCTCATGAACTTAATTTCTGTCGAGTGGCATTTATGCAGCTGGGGGCTCAGCAGGGATAGCCTAGTCACAGCTTTCAGTGTGTGTAACTTTTTTCAGCACACCCGCACCGCAACTGCACAGCAGCTAAACCACATTCCATGTGGGCTGGCTTTAGGAAGCCCTGCAGAAAAACGTTTATACAAGCAAAAATATTTTATAAAACACCAGAGAGAAGAAGCAAAGACACAGCTCATTCTGCCACTAGAAATAAGTTGTTAGGAAATTTCTGTCTGTTCTGTGTGCATATATGAGACTATATATATATATATATATATGGAATATATTTATATTATTATAGTAATATATATCAGACTGTATGGAATCCAACTGTGCTGACATTTAAAGCACTTTTCACCGAAGCCACATTCAGCCAGATTCTGCTGGAATTTAGGCTTTACCCCTTTACCAGGGGTGCAAAACATGCGAAAATGTGAGAAGCTAGAAACAATGCTACAACTTTGCGACTTTATAGCTTTTCAAAATGTCTACTCTTTCAATTGAGGCACAGTCAGCCCAAAAACAGCAGATCACTAAGGTTAAACTCTTCTTAAAACAAGTAAAGTTTAAGTGATCACAACTCAATGTATTGTCAAATTTCCATCTGATCTGAAATAAATTCCTCAGGCAAAGAGTCCAGGACAATAGCTAAAAAGAATCAAAGTCAGTAACTCTGGTCCATCACAACAGCTTCTAAATCTAGATGATTATCCTGCAAGGTGTAGCTGTTTACTGCTGTTCTGGAATTTGTCAGTCAACACGTTCCCTAGTGATTTCTGACCCTAACGTAAACAGTGCAGACATGGTGATTGTTTTTACCATGTCTGGATATCAACATGTCAACATCAAGGCTTTGAAGACTTTATGAAAGGTAACTGTTTCTGTGCTAACTACCTTCTAAAATATCTTTCTTGATGAGCTTATAAAATAAAGCTTTGTTGAAACAGCTCGAGGTTCCAGTTTGGAGTGTTAGAGTGTGTTGGAGTCTTACTTTGTTATGGGGTTGACGCTGGCTTCTACCACAGACAGGCCTTTACAGCATTTTATATTATCTGGAAACTCCTGGATTCCTGTTGGAGTGCATCATTATAAACAGTGATATAGCATAAAATAGGCATTCTGAGATTAAAGAAGTACCTTAAAGCAATGTCTGTGCTGGAAGTTATGTCTGAATTTTTGCTGCTGAATGCAGTTATTAGAAAATATAGTTCCATATGCATGAAATCTTTACCATTTTTACTGATGTCTAACTCTTTGAGGTTAACCAGGCTGGCGATGGTGGTAGGAAGATTGGAAAGGTCGTTATCAGGCAAGCTCAGCTTCTTTAGGGCCTGGCACTGGAAGAGTTGCTATGAGAGAAAACAACAGATATGGAAAACAAAAGATGAATTAACTCTGATTAGAAAAGCCAAACAGAAGTCAAACAGAATGCTGCATAACAAAAGAGAGCATTGAAAGTTTGCAGTAGGCCTGGAAAAAACTGTTCTGTTTAGTTTTTTTTTCTATAAATAATGCAGTTTTAATTTTCCCTGTACTGTGGCCCCAGAGGGTAGAAAAAGAGTAATAGCGAAAACATTCAGTACTCTGTGGGGACATACAGCAAAATCTAAACATGCATAACAGTGAGCAGTGCCTTCACAAAAAGTGCTTATATAGGAAAATATTCCTAAGGCACAAATGTTAAGAGTTCTGATCAAGATAGTTTCAAAAATGCATAAACAAAAATTTGTATAATTAAAACTAGATTTATATAAACAGGAATTTCAACACAAATCTATTAGACTGTTGAATAATCCTGCATCAAAGGAATACAAATATAGAAACATATGGGTTTTTACAACTGGAAACAGCAAATTAAACCTTTTTTCTCAATTTTTTTCAACTCTACATTCAGGGTAGCTGAAATCCGTTACTGTTTTGTTAATGATGTAACACACCACAAGCAAAACTTATAGTATAGAAAATATAAACCCCTTCCATGAATGGTAATAGCTATTGTGCAGATCTTGCAGTTCACACATTCACACTTTGTCATGATTCAGTTTTAATGATTTACAAATGGAAATTTGCAGAACTGAAAAATAGAGACATGTCTTTAGTATAAGTTATATGTATTACCCAGCAAAAATCATTAAATTGCAAGAAATGATCTGTTATGGCAAAGAAGGTTACTGTTTGCAAAAGGCATTCATCAAAACGTAAATTTTTCAGGTTTTTCCAAAATTTGATTTACTTCTTATTTAAACATAAATAAACACAATAAATTTAGCTTTGAACATCCAATACTAGAAATATGGAGTGAAACACAGAAAAGGCAGAGCATTTCTATGTCTTCTAGACTGAAAAAAAAAAATTATGCAACCGCTTTTGGCATTTACTTAATCATCTTTAGTTACTTTAACACAAAAGTTTTATGTCCTACCCTGCTAACGTAAAACAATTGTGTTAAAGTAAATAAAAATGATTAAGTAAATGCCAAAAATATTAGCATCATTTTTTTCAATGGACACAGAATCCCAATAGGCAACAAAGCTACCTGCATCAAATATAAACACCAATTTAGGTTATGCAGATATAGAATACTTCATAATTCATTAAAAACTCTTAATGTAGATGAGTTTGTTGCAACTTGCAACTTTTTCCACAAGTTAAATTTCTTTTTGCAAAGAGAAAACCTAGACAGACCAAACCTATCACTTGGAAGCAGACCTGAGTATCCTTTGGTCAAAGAGAAGCAAATGAACAGGAAACCAATGCTTATTCTGTTTTAAAACTTAATCTCTAGGTAGCATCTTTTGTTAGATGTTTTAGGAAGCCTGAAGAACGAATTTCAATGAGCACTTTAGACAATTCTAAAACCGTTAATGCTGCTATGGAATATTGTGTTTTGCATAAAAATGTTCATCACCAAATATACCAAACCAAAATTTAATCTACTTTTTTAAATACAAATCTTGCTACTGTATTTTATCATTATATCAATTATTATGTTTTACTTTGTCTCTTCTTAATTTCAGGTCAAAGGTAAAGTAGGAATTGTAAATTGATATGTTATGTGAATAATAATTCCCTCATTAAATAAAACATAATAGAACTGACAGCCTAACAAAAACTTATTATTTGGGCAATATATAATTGATACTGAATATACTGTAGTTAATCATAGATTATTTCACTGTGTGTTCACCAGGGAAAATTTTACTAAACCAAAATCCAAACATCAGTTACAGTGTGTTAATTCAGTTTTGGCAAGAATTAAAACTAATATTCACACCTATACTTATTATGCACAGATCTATATGCACAGACTGACATTTAAAGAGCACAGTAATTCTTCAGTGGTACAGCAGTCATCTGGTCAGACTAGAATTTAGAGTGCACAAAAAAACACTCACACTGTTTTACGTGTGTAAATGTCTTAACAAGGGTATGTTCTTTGATGCAGAGTGTTGAATTTCTTGAATTGTTAGAGACAATGATTTTATGATTTTATGCATGAATTGAAACAAGCTAGTAAACCATTTACTCTTATATAAGTCAACAGTGGTGGTCATATTCAGATAGAAAAAAAATATATAAACTTTGTGACTTGAAACATTTTCAGAAATAGGTTCACCTGCATCATAGTCACTAAGAATTCAACATAAAAACGGAATTAGCTGGTTAAAGAAAAAAAAATGTGTTGTTTGTTAAAAAGCTATATTTCAAAATACCAATATTATTCTGAAATTATGAAATATACTAATAATGCTTGTATTTCTTACTATCAAGAGTTTAACAAGTGTATTTATTTATTTATTGCTTTTAAACTCAGCAAAAATGCCAGTCATACCTTTCTCTTCAGCATTTGAAATAACAGAAAATAATAGCTTGCACCAGACCATCTTATGCACGCTAACTGACATACTCGTAATATAAAAAGAGGCTGTCCAGCTCACTTATAAACCCCCATCAGTCAGTAGTTAAACACAATCTTGGCGTACGTATTCATGGCTGAGCTTTTTTAAATTTTTCTATCCATTTTAAATGCACATTTAGCCTGCCTTTCACAAATACCCATTAGTTGGTCTCCATCCAGCAGGCTAAATTTAGAAATCCAATTCTCCATCTTTGTCATTTAAACCAGGACAGAATACCAATATATGTGACAGCCTGTTAATAAACAGCACCTTTAACTCTCCTTGAAATATTAGAAGGCCACATCGTACCAACAGAGCAGGGGCTGTGAAGGTCTCAGACATGCAAGAGCGCCAGCAAAAAAAGCAGGCGATAAACAGTACATTATTTATTGGTTCATGTTAAGGAACTACACTTTAAAAGATAATTGTGAAGCATGCATGACAGTGTGCATGTTCTTACAAATCAAAATCTGAACATCCAACACTGTAATGCAGTCACATTCAGTTCTCCTGATAAAAAAAAACTGCTACAATTCTGGGATGTTTTTACTAGCCTAAACAAGATAAAAAGTGAAATTTCATTGTTTTACAGTAGATAAAAAGAACTTTAAAAATAGTTGGCAAAGAAATAAATGTGTCGATTAAATACGCTTAGGACATCACACAATTCTCTATTTGACAACTAATCCAAAATTAAAATGGACGACTGTTGCTTAGATTTTAAGGTTTTTTATTCAAGTTAGTAAATATGACCCAATAGTCTTTTCTGTTCCATTTTTGCTGTGTGGTTGTGTGTTTACACCAACAGCAACTTGAGTGTGTTGTCTCTTTAATTACCAATCAAAATGACAAGAGAAGGGAACTAATAGATCTCCCACTGTATATCAGAATGAATAAAACTATATATTAATGCAATAAAGGAAATCATAGGTTGCACAATGTATAGTAAGTTTGAATTACGCAGGAGGAATTTATGATATTACTATTATTAATATCATTAGTTTTTATAACTGGATTATCTGTGTATCATGTCAGTGAGATTGGTAGATATTAGGTAGGTATTAGAATGTAGCGTTGTTTTGGTGTACAGACAGTGTTCAACAGCGTCCCTACTGGTGAAAATGCTTTCTGCTCCCTCAAGTCTAGAGTCTGAAATATATTCCTACCCTTTTTGAAACAGCCAAGCTACGTCAGATTGTACGGAAATCTATGAACATCAGTGTTTGGTCGTTCCGCGTCTTCTATTTTATATATAGGTGTAGATTTTAACTGGACTTTACATTTTCATGAATGTCCCATCAACACTTTCCAGCTTATGTCTCAGGTCAGAAGGGAGAAATACTCCCTCAAGCATTTACTGGCTCTTCCTCGAGGTCTCATCTAAGTGGGACATGCCCCAAAAACCTCCAAAGGAAGCCACTCATCCTTTTATCGCTTACAAATAGTACACCAAGATATCTGAATTCCTCCATCTGAGACAAAGAGAGAGAAACCTACCCTTATTTCTACAAGAAGCCATTGGCAGACTGAGAGTATAATATGTAGTTCTTGCTGTATGTTTAGGGGGGTTTTAGCCATAAAGGGAACCCCCATCTGTATCGCCACTATTTATTCAGCCTCTAAAAGGTTATTCTTTCCAAGAGTTTTTTTTTTATTCATCATCCCATCAACTCGGACCACCTTCTCTGTTCCTGCAGATGAATCATCCAACCTCATAATATTGCCAGCACCATATTTTATTAAGTGCTTTTGCCAAAATAGTTTTTCACAATACAGTGTATCAGAGGAACTTCCTCTATATGTACACACATTGGACTTAACGCATCTATTACTCATATCAATTAATAGTGATTTTGATGTAATGAAGCCTAATGTGAAGTAAACATTTACTTTTCATGCAGGTACTGTACAAAAGCTCTGGAAAAAACCCAACATAATTGTAAAAGGGTCCCAGTGCTTGAGTAATCAACATCAGCCCTGCACGGGTCTAATTTTTCAAAACTGAGAAAGAAAGTGAGAATCCCCATTAAAAACCGGTCCGGTACCACACTGACCCGTACATAAAAATGGGCGATTTGAACCATGACAACAAAGTGTACTCACAGCTGTTTATAATAACAGAGGCAGTAAAGAACATTGCCTCACACTCACATCCTGTGCGCTCACAGATTAACAGCTGTAAATTAAAGAAAGTAAGAAGGTTTGCCTCGTTGCTTAAAAAAATTATTAATTAAAATCAATCATAAATACTGTTATCTGGATATTCTTGAATAAATTAAATTTTTAGGATGTAGATTTAATGAATAAGAAAATATAAATAAGTTTAATTCATGCTGTAACTCTCTGTATGATACCTTCCTGCATTTTGTTCATTTATACCCGTGCCCGCAACCATGAAATATTATGGTTTGTTTTCTACCGGTAGATGTAGGTTTTATACAGATACCTGGCCTGGTGGACGACTCTGATCAGCATTTGTGTAGATATTTTGAGAATTAATATCAATATTCTCAAAATAAGGTAAGAAACACAAATCATTTAATAAATAAAATCATTTTTAAATTTGCTATCAAAATAATATTAAAAATCTCCCCTGGTTGTGATCTATGTCATTTGAAAGCTACGATATCCTAGTTTCAGGAGATATGTGTATGAACTGTAAGTTTTACACAACTTGAGATAGGTAGCTTCAAACATGTCCAAAATAATAAAATTTTTTTGAATTGCATAAAAAACATATAATTTTAATATTTTATATCTTGGGTATAATCCAACTCACTACACTTGTTGATCATGTTATGGACAACAACTATTTCAAATTACAGATCTCTAGTCATAAACATTGCAAAACTGTTATCCTTATAATATCAAAAAAGTCTATTTGGCACAATTGATCCAGATTAGAACCAAAAGTGCCAAACTGGATTAATAGAAGTCTATGATTAATTTGTCCATAAAAAACATATTTCTATGTGTATTTCATTCAAGCTCTTTCCTTTATAATATTTCAAATTCTCAGCTTTCTAAATTTAGACTATGCACTTTCTGTGCATATCCAGTTATTTCTTCTCTGCCCCTACACTTCCAATACTTCATTGCAAAATCTTATTGGCTAAGAAAATATGGCTACTTTCACACTGCAGGCCTTGATGCTCAATTCCGATTTTTTTGTGAAATCCGATTTTTTGCGTTGCGACTTGTATGTGATCTCTTGTGCAAACTGCAGTCATAGAACGCAAATGTCCCGCATGCGCAGTAAAGGATGCAATGTCGTCACAGGCCAGCGTGCTCTATGTTTACTGAAGTAAACATGGATGGTAGTACCGGCGCGCATCTAGCGGTCTTTTCCAATCACAAAACCTCAATCTTTTCACATGGTTAAACATAAATACTGCTCTCTGCATCATCATCTGCCATGGTTGTTGTTTTTCTTGCCGCTTCTGCGTAGCAAGACGCAAAATAGTGACCTTTGTCGGGTATTAATGACGGCCGTTCACACACATCGCATTTCTCGCTTGCAGGATGTTTTCAACGTATACTGAATACTGAAAAAAGGAGCTTATGCTGGATTTTGGAATCAAACAGATTGATGAATAAGATCATGTCACACAGAATCTAAAATGGTGGACATATGGCCATAGACCGTATGAGCTTTTATCCATTTTTAATTTTTCATGGAAAGAATTTGCTTCGATCGAGTATTATGACTTATGATGTACAATTTGATATTACTTTTCTGTGGAGTGTTACGGACAAATTGAGCATATGTATGCCAGGATAGAGTGTGTTTGGAATGCCAGATGACGAGAAAAAGATAAGAGGTAAAAATCATGAGTTTTAAATTATGACAGATTATTAGTTATTTGTGTTTGTAGCATTTAGTTGGCTTACAATTTTGATGGGGGTCTTTTTCTTTAGATAAAGATATCTGATTTTAAGGAGGTACAACACATTGGGTTTTCTTTACTAATAAGCTTGATGTTAAATGCGGAGCAAAATGTGGACGCAAAATGGCCCGAGGCCGGACAGTGGGAGCTAAGGGGTTAAAATTTAAAGATAATAGCTGTCGTACAGAAAGGCTTCCAGCTCTCAGTCGTTATACGATGATTTTCAATTTGCTTCAAAATTAGAGCAACACCATTTTTAATTCAAATGAAAAATATGAGCAGAAATGGACCAACATGTGTATCACGGCTACCTTGGGTAATTCTTCAATCTGGTTGGCATCCAGGTAGAGCTCTTCTAAAGTTCTCTCGAAGCTGAAGATCTCCTTGGGGACCTGCTGAAGACTGCAATGAGAGTAGTCCAGCACTGATATCACTTCCTCTTCACCACGGAAACAGCGGCATGGCACCAGCCGGCCAATCAGCTTTCGCTTAGTGGTCATTTCCAGACACTGCACTGAAAGAAGTAAAAAAAAGAAGCGATGGGGGATATTTTAATAATTCAGATTAATTTAAGGGGAATTTGGTTTCATTGAGTTTACACTGTATCAGTGCCCCATTACTTGCCAACAGAACATATTTAATAAGGATATACCACAAAAATGATACAAATATTCAGAAGCAGTGAAGTGTCATAATAAGTCAACCACAGAATTATTAATAATTAAGAGAAGTAATGAAATAAACCGACACAGAAGGGAAAATTTTGACACAGAAAAGGAAGAAATCTTCTGAAGTTGCTGTTCTTACTTGAAATGCTTGAATCAATGCAAACTACTCTACATTAGACACGCATGCTTAGCAACATACATCACTGAAACCCTACTTCTTGTGAATAAAAACCAGGGATCGACCCATTCATAGTGTTTTAGACTCATACAGTAACAGAGGCTGGAAGCGAGGTAGTACAGTTTTTTTTTTGCAGACAATAGCATTTTTTTTTACTAATTCTTTTCTGGACAATTTTAAGTTTACCTATATTTACTTAATTCCATAAAACACCACTTGTGTCTGTTCTGTGATTTGAGTTCAATAGAACAGCCCTGCTCTCACTTCTAACCTGCTCAAAGTTTCCAGTTACTTGTGGAAATTATCAGTCATACAGCTCATAATCATTCCAAAAAAAAGTTAAAAACAAACCACGTGACTTTGTTTTCCAAGTTTGAAGTTGTTTAGCTTCCCATCCAGGAACCTGGGTCTGAGTTAGCATTGAGTTCTAAGCTTTATAAAGTAGCTCAACAAAGCCTTGTTATGTTAAACTCCCATCACTATGCAGGGGACCAAAACATCTCACCTGCTCAGCCAGGCCAACAATGACCCTAGTGACTCCCTTTCAGAGACATAGGTCAGTATTGGGTGCACAATTGGATTGAGATTTTGAGATTTTTAAGAACAAATCATGTTTGTGTTTCAAAGCTTTTTCTGGTGCATTGTTGCTACAGCAGGACATATTTCTTCGATTAAAGAGTACGGTATATGAGGTCTGTACAAAGCTTAGGTAGGGGAAATGTTTCAAAGTAAACTGCAAAGGGTTTGCCTACAGATCCCTGACCAAACCATCTCACTGCCTAGGCCATTTCTTCCCAAAAAGCATCCAGATGTCTAGTAATTCTCAGGTAAGTTATTCAAACTTAAAATCTACATGTCCAGTCTCTTTAATTAAATATAATTATAAAGGTGGCATACTCATTGTTTTTTCATCTGTCACAACTTTGAAATGAGCAGCAGCAATAGTTTTTTTTCCCTTGTGAAAATATTTTTATCCCTACTATTTTTTTGGTTAAAAAAAATTGTAGGAACATATAAAAAAAAAAAAAAAAAAAGGCAACACACAAATATAGTATTATGGTATATTATATTAGCCTTTATGAAGAGGCTCAATAAATCTAACAGAATTTTACAAAGTAAAACAATTTTCTTTTAATTGTTGACAAAATGCATCTATCTTCACAAAATTCTTTAAAAAATAGTTTTCAATAGATTGACAACAACGTTCTTTCTAATTTTGTCATCTACCCTGGAAGACTACATAAAGTTCATTACAAAGAAAAAAAACAAGATGACGCATCTGAACATTCTTAGACAGATTTAGTTTTGTGACATGTTTTTTCCTTAACAGCACAAAATGTGAACTCATCTTTAATGTTGTGAAATCAAAAGTAATTGGAGCGCTTGAAATGAAGTGTAAAACTGGGGGGCAGATGCATGAAACAGCCATCCACTGCACTCCAGCCGTTACCCAGCTCAAAGCAGGCTGCGGCTCAACTCCTCAACAGACACACACAATCTGTCTTTTCATACAACAGGCCATATAATTAGACTAGAGATATAATTAAAATAGATCTTTTGTGATTCTATGACAACATCGCTGTGTTCCATAACTCCGTTTGAAAAGCTGCTGGCTGAATGGCATAAGTAGGCTAAGGATGCATATTAAAAACCTCGAGTGAGGATTTATTGTGAAGCTTTATAATTTCACACTAGAATGTTAACTACACTCAATCTACTGACAACTAAAACTATTCTATTGCCACCTCTTTTGAAAGGAAGAATGATAAAAACAATTTACTAACTATGGCCCCACTTTCATTTTCTGAATGTCAGCTACAATGTCAAGAGCAAAAAGGAATAAATAAAAAAAACAGGAAGGAGAAGATTTAATTTGTTGTATACTTGTGCTTAAAATGTTATACTGAGGGCAAATTGCCAGTTAATTAAATTCCTTGTAGAATACGCCAACTTGACAGTTAAAGCTGATTCTGAGTAGTGAAGGGATTCATGGGGGGCACCGAGAGAACGAAAGAAGATGTGGAAATAAGGATGAGAAGGTGCAGACTGCAGCAAAAGGGACTCCAGAAGGTACAGAGATGAGATCTACGGGCTTTATCAGGCTATAAGCACACACACATACTGTGCATGTCCAACTCTGCATGAGACCAGATGGATTCAGTAGACAGAGCAAAAAGCAAAATTGAAAGCACACTGTTATCTACAATGGGTTATTACAACCCATCTGAAATCTGATATAAAAGGTGCTGATCCTTAAGAACAGTTTAACAAAAAGCGATGGACCATTACAGTACACATCTCCTAAACTAGATTCATCTACTAAACCTCACATCCTAAAGTTCAAATATACTACACAATTTATTTTGTAAAACTTTACTTCCATACAGGACAAGCAAAAGGCAACAACCTTTTATAGGTGCGCAGTCTCTTTTGCAGTAAATTTCAATATTAAGTTTTCAGACACCTTCCATTAACCATTAATCTAATAAACTTGAAACAATCTTCAAAATGGTTACTAGGATGCCTCACGAACTTTAGCTTACTACAATTAAATACAAATCTAACAACATGCCATGATTCACTGACAACAAACATCTTAAATATTGCCTCCACAACGATGATATTAGAACAGAACAGAAGACAACCCGTTCACTGCTAAATTTCATTTATAGTAGAAGCTAAAAAAAAAAAAAAAAAGTGTTTTTGCTGCCAAAATGATTCCAATATATAGAGATTGGTCATTTGTATATTTAGGTATTTTGTATTCATAATGGTCAAATAAAGCAGCAGTAAAATCTGTCCATTGGATGAGGGAATAATAGAACCAAAATAATACTTGCTATATGTTCAATAAGGATGAAAGGGGATTTCTGGTCTAATTGTACCATATTGGTATCAAGGTTTTGAATTTATTGAACGCTCATAATAATGCTTTAGTTTTTCCAAGATTCCCTGTCCGGCTTCTGACAATATTGTTTCTGTAATCTGGCAAATAAATAGTACACAATATAGAAACTGTTTGAAAGGACAACCCTCTACACTGAAAAAAACAACTCATAAGATTTACTTAAAAATACATTATAAGTATTTGCACACAAATGATTTAAGTAAAATATTATGCTGCAATATCAAGTAACACTCACTTGTCAGTAAGTGATTTTTTGTTTCCATAAGACATAACAGTTGTGAAGATATTTAGTAACATTTACTTAATTACATCCAAGTTGTAAGTTAGATTTATTTAAACAAATTAAGTAAAGTGTACTTGTTTTTCATGGGCACAAACAGTATTTTACTCAAAATTTAAGGCAACACAGAAACAAACAGGACAAACAACCATTCATGCACACACTCTCACCTAAGGAGAATTTAGAGAAGCCAGTTAACCTAACAGTCATGTTTTTGGACTGGAAGCCGGAGTACCCAGAGAGAACCCATGCATGAACCCATGAAATAACATATGGCTTGTTCGTCAAAAAATAAAAAACATTAATGACAGGCAAAGCTTCCACTAAGATGACCTGGAACCCACTGCTAAGTCTTGGCCTTTGATATTTTGTTTTTTTGGGGGTTTTTTTGTGATGCCACATTTTCTTACCCTAAGATGACAAAGTCATGAATTCATTTAGAAAGGCAACTTCATCATACAGTTCGAATCCATCCAACTCCAGGAAAAGTTTTTGGAAGACTTCAAAAGTGTAGCGCAAAGTGGGAGGGTATGCCAAGTTCAGGGCATATATCAGTCCTGTGAGCAGCAAGCAGGCTTTTGCAGTACTGTTGCACCCTGCCAAAATGACTGTCGTCTTGCTCTGTGTGTAATCTTCTAACGTTTGGACTCTGAGCTGAATCAGTCCTGCTGTGAGCTACAGTGTGCATGCGGCGTGTGTGGTTTCAAATTTTTAGATAACAGATTATATAGTATTTTTTAAGTTTATGCACATACTGCTATTAAACATTTAAATAGTATAACGAAATCTAAATAAAACTTCAGTGTTGGGACTACCCCATTAAAAAAAAAAGATAAAAAAAATTGATTGTGTTGATAAATGTCACAATGATAAACAATTTTGTTCAGGTTTACACTGTCAATGTCATTCTGAACTGGTTTTATTGCAGGTTAATTGTTATTGCAGCTATATATATATATATATATATATATATATATATATATATATATATATATATATATATATATATATATATATATATATATATATATATATATATATATATATATATATATATATATATATATATTCAAACAAACTGGAACAACAACTAAACACTTGAAAATCACATGTTGCATACTGACAATGAAATCATGTTAACTCTGCAATTTACTGCAGCCATACTCAGAGATGAGAGACTTGAAACAGCTTCTGAATGTAAATCAATACTTTATAAGTAATAACCGCTAATTAAGATTGATGATACCAACGTTGTTATTGTAACTAAAGCAAATACGTAACAAAAGTCTAACTATTTCATATCACATTAAAAGCAACCTGATGCTTTTTTTATTTATTGGTGGAAATAATCTAGAACAGTATGCTAAGCAGATTTTTAAGTTTTTTACACAATAAAACACTTTGGGAGGGAAATGTATTCATCTTCTAAAATAAAGCAAGTTAAACCCTCGTGTGTTAAGGTCTCAGCAAAGTATTTTGC